TCTTAAATACAAAGCCTTCAAACCAAGGAAGCCAATAAGATACCTGTCAGTCTGAGGTCAAAAGCCTTAGTACTTGAGGGTCACTGGTACAATTCCAGAATCCAAAGACCAGAAACTCAACGTCCTGACACCTAAGAGTCAGAGAAGAGTGTCCCAGCTGAGAAAGAAAGAAAACAACAACAACAAAAACAAAAAACAAAAAAAACTGACCTTCCTTCTGCCCTTACCCTCATAGGATTTACATGTTCACTGCCCACATTGGATGACAGCAGATTTTCCTTACTCAGTTCACTAATTTAAACTTCCATACCTTCCAGAAACACCTTCACAGTCAGATTCAGCAGTAATGTTCTCCAACTATCTGTGTACCCTTTAGTTCAACCAAGGTGACAACTAAAAATAGCCATAACAATCAATGAACGAAGTCAACAAAAATGAAGAACACTTGTTCAAATCCACAAACTCTGCAAGTATTTTGAGCGTCTACTCTTAATCCTACAAGTTTATGTATTTTATATTTTATTATGTAAGTAACAGAACTATATATATTTGAATTATTACTGAATAGCCCCCTGAACAGAGCAATAGAAGGTCTCTGGAAAAAGTATCAAATATGTATTATTTTCACACCTTTACTCATCATAATTATGGGACTATTTTTCAAGGGCTAATGGTTTCATACCTTCTAGTTCCTACTCAGTTTAATTAAATATAAGTATCAATAAAGAACATTAAAACCACTTTCCAAAATCCAGAAGTGGTGGCACATTTTTTTGATACCAGCACTCAGAAGTTGAGACAGGCTGCACAGGAGACCTTATCTCAAAAATAAACCAACAGCAACATTAACCACATAAACATACCATTTTTCTAAATATCGTGTATTTGATTGCAGATGATTTTGTTCTTATTTAATAATTCTGTTATTTAATAGTCTTCATTCTGACCACTACAAAAGGCCTACTGAAGAAAGAATGAAGCATTTTATAATATCTGCTTTTAATTCACTAGATCATGAAGTCTAAATTTTATTCAAATAAATCTCAAAATGAGGCCCAAATTGAATATAAAATTATATAAAAAAATAATAAACCCATGCTTTAAATAATTCTTTCACAAATCAATAAAGAGACTTCAATGCTTTCAGAGGACATATATCTAAATGAGTTATATTAGTGAACTATTTCTTATAGTATTAGTTAGATTTTCTATTACTATGAAGAAACACCACAGCCATAGCAACTCTTACATAGGAAAGCATTCAACTGGGTCTGGCTTACAGCTCAGAGATTTAGTCCGTTATCATTTCAGGAAGCATGGCTGAAAGCTGGAACTCATTCTATAGACCAAAGAGGCCTCAAGTTCAGAAATGTCCACCTTCCTCTGCCTCTTAGATAATAAGACTAAAGGCATGTGCCATATGGCCAGGCATATTTATTTTTTAAATAGTGACTTGCTACTTGGTCAAGGCTGGCACTGAACTTCTGATCTTGCTTCCCTCTGGAGTCTAAAGCCATAGGCCAACAGACCCTGCACAGAAAATTTTTTTTGACTTACTACTTAGTTTTTATTGTCAACTTGACACAACCTAGAATCATTTAGAGTAACTTAATTAAAGAACTGCCTAGATCAACTTGGCCTTCAGGCCTATCTGTGGGGCACGTCTTGTTTCCTGATATAAGTGAGCCAAGCCTACTGTGGGCACTACCAATTCCTGAGAAAGTAGTCCTTGGCTGTAAAAGAGCTAGCTAAGCATGAGTCTGTGAGAAAGCAAGTAGTATTTCTCCATGGTTCCTGCCTCCAATTTTTGTTTTGAGTTCCTGCCTTCACAATTCCATCAGGGACAGATTGTGACCAAGACATTTTAAGCCAAATCATCCTTTACTCTTCAAAGTTTCTTTTGGTCATGTTGTTTTGACATTGCAATAGAATAAAAATAAGATAAATATCAACACTAAACATTAATTTTTGATGTGTCAGATAAATAGTTTAGAGATATTAAGAGAAAATAACTTTAAAAATCTATTATATAGTTCATGTGTTGAAGCCTTATTCCGCAGTCTGTGGTATTAGGAGTTGATAGAACCTGTAGACAGTGTGACACGGTAGAAGGATGCTATGTCATTGACTAGAGTCTTTGGAAAGCATACTGCCACCTCACATGCCCACCCTATTCCCCTTCTCAGCTTTCCTAAAGTACACAGCTTTTCTCCTAAAGTACTCCAACACAGGCAAAACCAAAAGCTAGAGTCCTATGAGTATAAACTGAAACCATAAACCAAATTAAAAGTCACATCTTTCTGAATTGTAGATTACGTATTTTGTGAAATGAAAACTGACTAATACATCTATAAAGAGTTACAAAGAATCACACCAGACACTTTTCTCATTTGACTTGGGTCTCTTATATTCTCTTCATCTCCAAATCTAGCTATCTGTATATCCATGATTTGCTCCATCTCACTGTGCAGGTGTCCAAAGCAAGACAGTGTTTGTCACAGTGTGTGGTCCCCACAAATACATGATGAATGCCTGAGAATTTTATTGTCCTCCACGCTTTTTTGATCTAGAAAGTGCTCAGGATCTGTGTTTGTTAGAGGAGAAGTGGACAAGAGTGCTGAACATGAGATGACCAAGAGATCTGAGACTAGTGGCTCAGTTGACTTCTATTATTACACAGTGTAGGAATTTCCACCTCTGGGAGAAGTTATTTAGCAATTTACAAGTCTTCACACAATGACTTTTAGCTTGTGTTCTCTTACAGAGAAACCCTGGGTGGAAGTGTGTGTGTGTGTGTTTGTGTGTGTGTGTGTATGATCTGTGATCTCTAGCAGATATTTGGCCATTAGCTTTACCTCTAAGCCATTAAAACATCATCTCTACCAGTCAACATCCTCATAGTGGACAAATTATCAAGGTATTACCCTCCCCACTCTTCCCTTACTCCATTGTCTATTTCTGTGGGGTTTTTTCTTCTTTCTTTTTACTTTCTGTAGCAGGCACAGAGATTTTTGTGATCTGTTCACAGATAAACACTATCAAAACCAAGAATGTTAAATATGCTTCAAAGGAAAAGATGTATTATCTGCTTTCTGCCAGAAGGCTGGGAATGGGTGTGGTTAACGGCCTCTAACCCAGTGCTATCAGTAGGACCAGGCCGGACCAGGCTCTCCCAGACTCTTTCGTATCTTGGTCATCCTCCCTAGACTCTTACCTTTGGCATCGTTTCTCAGTCAATCTACATAATCCATCTTTATGGGAGATGTCACAAGTACTTTACAAACGGGAGCATCAGAGAAGATCATTGGACTGGACAACAGGGAAATTTAATAGAAATTTACATGTGTCCTCATTCAGTCAATAGCTCCACTGGGAATTCATTTCTCCCTCCTTATAATCCCCTACAAAGGAGTCTCTGCTACTGAGCTCACCAACCTCAGACTCATATCAAAATCACTTGTGCATGAGTCAGCTCCTTTGCACAAAACACACCACAGCAGGAGTAAGATATTTTTCTCTACTGTTTTTTCCAGACAATCTCTAGCTCAAATTCAATTTACATAAGTGACATAATAATGCAATTTGCATAGCCCAATTAAGTATCATCACATTATCTTGGTTATATTAATATGTATCAGAGTCTTACAGGACTCTGGCACAGATAAGTTCACCTTACCCTTATACTCTGAAAACACAAACACAATGTAGGTTGATACCAATACTTCAATAGTTGATCCAGTTTTCAAAGATAAGTCTCTGGAAGTTTGAACATGGATGTGGTGGGTAGCCTATGTGAAGGATCATCACAGCAGTCTTGTTAAGGAGTGAGGGACTGATATGGGAGCCCTGAATAGAAGCTACACTGTTTTAGTTTCCTAGGACCACTTGAAAAAAAAACAATTTGAAACTCCAGTCACTGGAAACCAGAGAGGTGTTTATCAAGCCCTGATAAGTGTCATTTCCTATGTAGATAAATGGAATTAATTCTTCGTTCTTTCTACCTCCACTGAGTCCTGAAAACTAGACATTCCTATTCCAGAGCATATATCAAAATTCGTGGCCAAATCAAATATTCTAACTGAAAATCTAGACCCTTCCTTTCTAGGTTCCTGTGAGTGTATCTCAAAATATGACATTTAATTTTTTTGATCTCCTATATACCTCACTGTATATAGGAAGGTTTTTCCTTCTGATATGAAATTTGGAATTGGTCTCTAGCACTGTATATATATGTTTAAATGAGGAGTACAGAACCTCCAAAATGAGATTCTCTTGTGCCTTCATTTTATTAGCATATTTTAACTAAGTATGCATAATTCTGTTTCATTATAGCATTTCATGCACGTACATAAAACATTTTGATCACATTCACCATTTTCTTCCTCTGTGTTGAATGCATATGTATGTAGTGGCGGGGGTGTCATGCAAATGTGGAGTCATTGAGTATCTTTCTTGATTGCTTGTCATCTTAACTTTTGAGATACTATTTTCTTACTGGACCTTGAGCTAATTTCTGCTGGCTTGGCAGCCAGCAAGCCCCTGCAATCTACCTATTTCTGCTTCTCTCTACCAGTTCTGGGTGTTGAAATACAGGGCACCACACTTGGTATTTTTTGAATGTCAAATCCCTAACACAATTTGTCCTCTTTATTGTACAACACACACTTTATCCCCTTAAATGCCATCTCAGTCCCATCCTTCCTTCTCTTTTTAGACCAGCATAATCAACAGCTTCGTATTTTTGATCACTTATCACAAGTAGTGGGAGAAAAGTTACACCCTGCAGTGATCTACACAGTGTCCAGCAGGCTAAAGGTACTCAGTATGTGTTACTCTTGCTCTCCTTCCCTTTCTGAGCCCCACTCTACAACCAACACAACCATTCACCAAGGATTTACAATTTCTAGTCTTTCAGTTCGAGTTCTACTATGCTCTGTGAAGACTTAGATGATGGTTATCTAGTTTTATGCTATGAGTTGTTTAAATAAATAAATTGTTCATGTATTTTAAAAATATCATTTTATTATGTTTCACGTGATGCAAAATATCTACAGTATAATAAAATTCAATTTCTCAAACGGCAACGACGTGTCTGATGCACACCTGAAATGATCGTCGATTCCAGAAGAACAACAAAGTGGCCTGCCACTTGCAATGTACAATCAACAAATATTGGACAACCTTACCTCCGTACTTCTGTCATTACAAAGATAGAGCATGGGATAATATTCAGCATCCCTCTTATCATTATTCTTTTGTTAACAATCCACTCTACTTTTCATCACTTTTTTAACTTCAACAATCACATTCAAGGCTCCTATAGTAATTAAAACTCAATGTGAAGTACAACTATGAATTTCCCGATGTGTTCACTTTCCCTCCCACCATTAAGGATGATTGCCTTTCTGACTCTAACCTTGTGTGCGCTCAGCAGCCTAGGTTGAGTGATGTGTCCACCCAGTGTTCACGCCTCTTATAGCATAACCTGATGTCTCTAATAGAAACCAATGCCTTTGAGACAATATTCATGTGCTGCTCCCGTGAAACTCTGCCCTTGTTCTCTAATTCAGTGAAGGTGTTGGCTCAAGTGTAAAGCCAGGTAAAAGAAAAATGAAGCCTAAACTAGGTTCTCCCCACTCCAAGGAATTACTTTGGAATAAAGCTTTGGGACTTTCCATTCAATTCATCTGTGGTGTGCTATCAGCTCTGTCGCTTTCACAAGGCAAAAAGCAATAACAAAAATATAGTGTCTCTCACCAACTGTTAGCATTTAGTCATATGTGCTTTTGTTTGGGTTTAACTGATTCGTCTTCTGAGAAAAACAGGACATTTATATGCTAGTTCCATGATGATGAACCTTACTTTTAAAATAAAAAACTAAAGAAGTGTCATTTATTATAGGAAATAAATTGAAATTTAAATGTTTCATGTATTTCATTATTTAATTTCTAGACAGCAATGAGTGCAAGACTTTTCAAAAATGTGATTTATATAACAAAAATCTGAAAGACAAAGTACCACATCATATTTAAACAATCCACATCACAGGTAACACCTGCCAGCTGGTGATAGGAACATGAGCATAATTACAACAACAACAACAACAACAACAACAACAAAGAGATATTATAAAACAGACTTTAGAAGTTCTTCTGGATTTTCTTCACTGATGGACACGAGTGAGCTCTAATGTCATTATGTTTAGAAATGGCTTCATCCAGATCCAGCTGTATACCGTTGATGTTCACTTCCATGCAGCCGCTGTAAAAGGCGTTCACTGGTGTGGCACTGAAAGAAATATCTGTCGAAAGAAACAGTGTCCAACACTTCAGCTCTTATATGTTTACAATTAAAAGAATTACTCACACTTCACAATTCCAAACATATTCCTACAGGAAAAATTACTAATGTGGTTCTATTCAGCAAACATGTTATGCTGGGCATGGATCTCAGCATATCATGAGTTCTTCTGATTTCATAAATGCAATCATTGCCAACCAAACTGAAGGAAAATGTTCATACTTGAAGAGGAGAAAAGAGCGTGTGCTTATGATACTTCACATTTACTATAAAATAGTATATGTTGGTTTCTCTTTAAAACTGAGCAACATTTCTGTATGATTAGATCACCTCTTCAACTGGAAATTGTGAGGTCTTAGAAATCCTTCTTAAATGTCATGGCAAACACATCTTTGTATAATTTCTGGAATAAAAACTGGTTTTTATATTTCTCAAGAAATAGTTTCTGGCTGAGTACAAAAGCAAGTCATAATAAGAGACTGGCTTTTACGTGATAATATTATCCCACAAAACAACTTCTGCACTGGTCCTCAGTGAGTCATTTGAGGTCATTGGTGCCTTTGGGCTTTGCTGCACTGGACTTGTGTTACGAAGGTTTGTCCTACTTGTTTGTGTAGCTTCCGAGTCTCCTAAGAACTAGAGTCTATGACACCTTTCTCTCTTTTTGGCATTTCTTTCTCATAGATTTGGAGTTACAGTGGACATTCTCTTGTGCTTCCTTCTCAAAATACATTATGCCAAAAATAGATACTTCAAAGTTTATACCTTCAGCTTTTCAAAATAGTGACAAAATCTGTATCTAGGAGCTAGATGCATATTTTAGGAATCCTCTTCAAGTCTGGCCAATGTCACTGACATTATATATACATTATTTTAGCCACAATTTGACCTTAAGCCACAAAATGACCATTAAGACATTATCAATTTGACCAGGCATGATAATATATGCTTTTAATCCCAGCATTAAAGAGGCAGAGGTAGGTGGATCTCTGAGTTCAAGGCCAATCTGGTCTACATAGTGAGTTCCAGGACAGTCAGACCTGTATACAAACTATTTGATTCAAAACATGTTTGTAGAATGGAAGAAAAATACCTGGAATGCCACCCAGGTAAGTGGCCACGGTTCCTTTCATTGCTTTGTCCAAGATGTCAAGTTGCCTTTGAAGATCTTTCGAGTAAATGACATCTTTTCTAAGAGGGGTCCACAGTTCCAGTCCATTTTTGTTAACGTTACATTTCAGTTGGGATTGCTGATCCGAGCACAGAGTTATGGCCTCTAATCGAGCCACCACTGAATTTTCAACAAATACCAGAATATCCTAAACAATAGAGCAAAGACTTCATATAAACAACACTGAGGCCAAAGCCACTTAGGAATGTGTGCTTTTTGAAATTCAAACCTAAATTTCATAAAATGATAGAGACTCTACATTTAAATGTAAAGTTGCTTACATTTTAACAATTAATTTTCAAATACCCATTAGTTTTACAAGCTCCAGGTTTAATTAAGATGCAATGTATACTGATTTCTGAAGATTGAGTTACATCAACTGAGTTGTATAGCCAAATAGAAGAAAGTAACATGATGTACCTAAATTCTACTTGTGTCTCCAGATCTCTCTAATTGCAAAAGTTATATATGAAAAAGGAAGAGTGAACTTTGTGTTGGGGAAAATTTGAGTGCTCTAGTATGCATCAAAGCAGAAAAACTCCTCTGTGCCATCCATGTAACCACACAGACCAGGGACAATGTGGGGAAAGAGGCCTGAGAACGAGACCAGTATTGTGAGCCACACTTACAGTAGGCAGCTGAAGAGTCTCAAAAAAAGAGAAATGTTTTATTTTGCTGGAATTTTCAAAATATTCAACTTGTTGGGAGTGAGCTCTGCTGCTAACTTGTAGACAGTAAAGAAGAAGTAGAAAATTTAACCAAAATAGAGAGAGATGCTATGATGCTTCCCATATAGTAACTGTAGTCTGAAATGGTCTCTTAGGGTAAGATATTTATGGTGAAGGGGAAAGTCTATACTTCCTGACTGTGGATTCCTTAAGGAAATCTTTAACTTTACAAATATTCATATCCTTAACTCATTAAAAGAGAAAGCCAAGTCAGACATTTGGTGAATTCCTTTAATCCCTGCACTCTGCAACTGGGAGGCTGAAAGCAAGTGGATTTCTGTGAGTCTGTGGCCAGCCTGATCTACATAACGAGTTCCAGGTTAGCCAGGGATACATAGAAAGACTGGGTGGTGGAGGTTGTTACTCAACAGAAACTTACTTCAAATTACATTCTAATTTGCAAAATGAATCAACTGTTTTTGTTGATTACAGAGCAAACAAGGAGTCCAACTTTGGCATAAATTTGAGCTGTTTACAAAAAGTCGCTGCAATGCATATATGAAGAGCATAAGCAGGAAGCTATTAGCTATTAGCACTACTAGAAACTGGAATAGCATAGATCTCTTGAGAAAGTTCGTATTGTATTTCTTTGTATCAAAGACTCTCCTGTTTTTCCTAAATCTAAACTGGAGCTATTTAAACAAACAAACAAAAAAAAACAAGTGGGATGGTTTCTGTTTTCTCTTCTTTTTCTGATGTATTCAAGGGGTAAAGATTAACAAGTGCAAAGGAGAACAAACAATTACAACGGTATACTACACAGCTTCGAGTGGAATGTTATCACATCCTTATTTTGTGTGCAGGTGAATTTTCATACTACTACTCATATTATAGTGTATAGGTTGAGTTCTATGCACTTTGTCATGTCTCCAAGCAGCTTCTGTAGGAGTCTACCTAACCAAAGCTCTAGACACAAAGGTTTCTCAGTACCCCAGTATCTTCTACTCCTTGGAAATCATCCATCAAGTCCGGAACTAAAAGAGGTTCATCTAGGTTGGAAATAAAGTTACCTGAGAAGATCCAGAGCCAGAATCCACCAAGGATAAGGCAAAGGGCACTGTGTCCCCAGAAACCAAAGCAAGCATGACTCCAGTGCCAGTGGATGGGCGAATATTCAAGGTCACATTCATTTGCCAACCCTCTGCTTTAGTTACGTTTTCTATTCAAAATGATAAACAAAGTGGGACAGAAAACAATTGAGACAAGAGTAACTATTAATTATTATAATCTGGTTAATACTCAAAGGTATTTTCTGAAGCGCTAACGATGTTAATGCTTTCTCTCAATGACATTCATTACCTAAGCAAATCAGAACATGGTTGTTTTATTTGTTAAATGCAAGTGATGCCCCCAGATTTTCATTCTTCCAAGAGAAAAATTCTGGACTGTGATAAAGAGTACTCCACACTTGCCACTTTCTCTTCAACAACTCTTCATCTCATGCAAATTCACCAATGTTCAGACCTCAGAGTGGTCAGACCTTATAGCACGGTTTTAGAAGGAAGTTGAATAGATTTTCTGTATTCTTTTTTTTAAGATTTATTTATTTTATTTATATGAGTACACTGTTGCTGTCTTCAGACACACCAGAAAAGGGCATCGGATCCCATTATAGATGCTTTTGAGCCACCATGTGGTTGCTGGGAATTGAACTCAGGACCCTTGGAAGAACAGTCAGTGCTCTTAACCACTGAGCCATCTCTCCAGCCCCAATTTTTTGTATTCTTTTTAAGAAAAAGTTAGAAATAGAGGTCTTCGCACCCCATCATCACTAATTCTAGAGTAATGCAAACAAAAAATATGTTCTATATACAGGTAAAGGTAGATAGTCTTGGAGAAATACCATGAAGTCCACAGTTAGTTTTCAACCTAGATTGGGAACTTTGCATCTGTGGTAGTCTTGTTTTACTATTTTAATCTTTTAAATGACTTGGCTAGTTACCTACCAAAATGGAGTGCAGGCAATCAGACCTATGTGTCTTTATCATCACTTTGTTTTTCAAAAAAGACAATAAATATTCACTGAATTAGTGTTTTCAAAGTACAGTCATGCACCACATAATTATAATCTGGCCAATGATGGAAACAGATATTAGTCTGTTCTGTGATGTTCACCAAAGGATGAAACTGCTCGGTGACACTGTGAGGGTTAGCTTTAATCATCATCTTGACATAACTTAGAATTAGCTCGGAGAAAATTCTTAATGAGAAAATGTCTACGTTGGATTGGCTTCTGGGCATGTCTGTGGAGGACAGGCTGTCTTAATTTAGTTAATTGATGTAGGAAGACCCAGCCCACTACACGTGCAAGTATTCCCTAGGCAAGTAGTTCTAAATTGAATAAGAGTGGATATGTTGAATGGAGCAGGAGCATAAACAAACAAACAAGTGACTAAGCATGCATTCTTTTCTCTCTACTCTTGAATATGGATGAGACTAGCTGTTTCAAGTCCCGACCCCTGTGACTTCCCTACTATGATCTGGCACTGTAAGTAGAAAGAAAATCCTTTCTCAGCATCTAGTGAGATGATCATGTGTTTTTTTTCTTTGAGTTTGTTTATATAGTGGATTATGTTGATGGATGTCCAAATATTGAACCATCCCTGCATTCTTGGGATAAAGCCTACTTGATCATGATGGATGATTGTTTTGATGTGTTCTTGGATTTGATTTGCCAGACTTTTATTGAGTATTTTTGCATCGATATTCATAAGGAAGATTGGTCTGAAGTGGGGCTGTCCAGATACTGCTTCACCTGGGTATCCATCCCTTGTACATTCACCAAAGGTAGACACTGATGTGAATGCCAGGAAGTGCATGCTGACAGCAGCCTGATATAGCTGTCTCCTTAGAGGTCTGCCAGAGCCCGAAATACACAGAGGCTGAAGCTTACAACTAACCATTGAGCTGATCATGGGGTTCCCAATGGAGCAGTGAGAGAGAAGACTGAAGGAGCTGAAAGGATTTGTGGCCCTATGAGGAGAGCAATAATACCAACCAACCAGTGCTCCCAGGGCCTAAACCACCAGCCTGGGAGCACATAGGGAGGGGCCCGTAGCTCCAGCTGTATATGGAGGGGAGGATGACAGTGTCAGGCATAGGTGGGTGAGGAAGTCCTTGGTCCAGTGAAGGTTGGACACCCCAGTGTGGGGGAAAATGTGTGTGGGGGGTGGGAGTGGGAGGGTGAGTGGGGGCGCATCCTCTTAGAAGCAAGAGGTGGGGGGATGAGATAGGGAGTTCCTTGGTGGGGGTGAAAGGGGATTACATCTGAAATGTAAACAAAATATTCAATAAAAAAATAAAAAAAAATAAAAAGAAAGAAAAGAAAACCCTTTCTCCTCGAAGTTGCTTTTGGAAATGAAACAAAGACAGACACATTTTTCAGGACATAGTCACTCATTAAAATTCACAAATAACTACCTAAATTAACCTCAAGTACTTTTAAAAATCAGTTTATAATATTAATTGGGTCTTCCTCATTTATTTTGAAGTAATAAATACATAACAAATTCCATATACTACTTGGATATATTCCATGTACTTTGAAAGAGTAAATCGAATGAGGGAATGGTTTTCTTTTGGCTAAATATTCTTCCATTTAGCTATATATAAAGAGAATATTTTCGCTGTAAGTCTTACCCAGGAAGAATATATGGAATTATTGTGAGATAAATTAAACAAAGTATTTCAAATTTATATTGAAATGAATATTAAAAATGTGTGGAAGTTATAAGGTTAAATATTAGTTATGAAGTAAGTTTGTTTCAAATTATCCACAAAATAACTTAAAGTAATTATTAGCTACAGTGTAACTTATTTAAATTTCTTTTTCTGGAAAATTTTCTTTAGCAAATCAGGTTCTGGGAAGGGGACCTCCAACGATCATTTCTGTTTTCCTTTTTCCCTGTAAGGCCAAATAAGGAAGCCAGAAGCCAGAACTCACAGAGAGCCCCAGAGTTACAATTAATGACAGTTAATGTCCTACTCATGAAGATGACCCTGAAATAAAATAGAGGAACTGCCTACTTGTCCCTGGGGCATCAGGAAGGATAACACTCTATTCAAACTGCACCCGGAATATAGCTTTTCTAACAATTATAAGGCTAATACAAAGAAACCTCAATTAACATCATTATTAATACTGAAAATAAATTGAGTTCTTATTAGCAAGATTCCTAGCACTGGAGGATGGGTAATTTGACCTCTAGTGACTAGAGTCTCGTTGGAAGTTGCTGAGTTCTCCGATATCACCCTTACTGCCTTGAACAAAAGGTATGCCCGCACTCACTATTTAAAACACTCCATAGACACTTTTAGGATAATTACACAACAACTGAAGGTAATTGCTCAGCTCTGGATAGTAAGCCTCTCCTGCCAGAACCACTTTGCTATTGCAGCCCTCTGTGAATAACCTTCTGGATGACCCTGTAATGATTTCCACTTAGATCAAAGTAGTAGCACTGACCCTGGACCACCTAGCAGAAAAACTTAGAAGGTGAGCGAGTACTAAAGAGCCAAACGCTGAGATTTGAGGGAAGGTGCCTACTGCAGCTATAAACGCAAGCTGTTTGGCTCACTGTGCCACTTCCTTTGGTGTTGAAACACGAGGACTAACAAACAGCTTTTTCTGAGGTGATCTTTTCTTGCCTTTTTTGTTTGTTTTTTTTACCAGCATGAGCTGAGCTGGTAATATGAATAAAGAAGCATAACAAACAACATCAAGGCAACCAGGGAGACACTGTTGAACTACAGTGGCCACTGGAACAACAGAAGAGTTGCCAGCAGGCTTAGCTGGAATTAGCTGCGAGGCAAGCATCTGCTGGACAGCTGATGAAGTAGCTGAACAGTTAGAGAGTAGCCAGAGGAGGAACAGGAAATGGCAGAAGCAGAGAGGGCGGAGAACTAAGGATGAAAGTTAAAAGTTGTAAAGAACGGAAAAGAAGCCCTGCAGGCCATGGCTGCTGGAAAAGTTATAAAAGCTGTAATACCTTTAGGGACAAAGGGTCTCAGATAGCCCAGAGCCGGGAACTATAACGGCAGCTGCTGTTACTAGTTGTGGGATTGTGGAGTTTCAACTTCCTGGGCTGTGATTACAGAACTAAGGATCCTAGTTCTCAAAGCTTGCAGAAGAGGTGCACCGCTAAAGGGTGACCGCGGCTCTCGCTGCCACCACTTACTATTACTGTCAAACAGTAGAGGATGAAAAGCTGCCAAGGATCAGGACCCGAGGAGCTTTTCATTGCTCACTCTTGATTTCCATGCAGGTAGAGCAAAGATCTCAGCTTGTCTGTTGCTAACAAGATCTGCCTCCCGGGTACCTGCTTTATCCGAAGTAATAGCTGATCAGTAATCCACCCACCACTGAGCCTGAACACTGGCCAGTCTGGTTCAAACATTCTACATAAATTTGGATTCCTAATTTGTACAAAAGAACCTGAGCAGGAATCACAGGCAAGAATCTGTCCTACTCCAACAGACATGTTCCTTTGTTCCAAGGCTGCTACCTGGCTCACTGATGGTCAGAACTGTATCTTCCATTCAGCTTGAGCAGCGATCCTGACAGCAAAGCAATTCCTGTACCCCTTAGTGTCCAGACTCCTACCTACTGTCCCTGGACTCAAGAACCTGATTAGATCGCCCAGGTAATCACTACTAATATATGAGAAGGTATTCAACTTAAGTAGAAATTAGGAAAGTAGTATTTAAAACCATAAAATTTAAATTTGAACAGATTGGAAAACTTGTTTTGAGCACAAGCTTTCTGCTTTTAGTAATTTTCACAATTAATAATCTTTAGGAGGAAATGTAGTAAGTCAGGTATGAATAATATATCTGCAAGATCTTTGACGGAGAAAATCTAATTCTAAAATTCTCATACAAAGGGCAGGATGTGTAACTCAGAGATGTTCACAGCAAGTTATTTGTAAAGGTGTACACAAGACTTCACTATCACCCCAGTCTAGTAAGACTTCCGACTCTACTTACAGAAACAAAAATAAATACATACATAAATAAATAAAAATCTAACCTCTTGTAAAGCAGCCCTGAACCAAACAAAACTTAAATTGTATTAGCACACTTTTCAGAGCTATTAAAAAATAATGTGTGGGACTAGGTGATAGCAATTTGTTTGACTCACAGTTGTACAGGCTGGACATCTAAGTAGCAATGATGGTGGCTCTTGTGAGGCTTGGGGTAGATGGAGGGCCCGTTACATCAAGAAAGATCTCAGGAAGAGAATGAATCTAAGGAACAGTGTCCTTCATGAAAGGCCCTGCTCTATTATAAAATCCACCCTTCAAGCAATAATTCAACAAGTGGCTCAAATCCTCTCTAAATTTAGCAATATCCCTCCATATCCAAAGGAGAGGTGTGCCTATTTCCAGACACAAGTGGTATTCATTCTGGTCTCTACTATTGCATGTAAAATACAATAAGGAAAGAACATTTGGATGGATCAAGCTCACATGGACACAGATGATGCAAAAAAAAAAAGATGATAGATAAATAGATAGATAAACTTTTAAAAAAGAAATTAATTTATAATTGTGAGTATGTTGAAGGCTCAGAGTAAGCTACATAATATGTGTAAATACACAGGCAATCTCATCAGAACCAGAAATTTTTAACACAGATCAATGGAAATGATAGAAATGAAAACCAATGCCTTCTATGCATTGATTACTGAATTCAAGCCAACTGCAAAAGCAATGAACCTTAAAACGGGTCAACTGAGTTGACGCTCAGTGAACCAGGCTATATGCCAGTAAACTTTAAGTAATAATAAGTATAGTAACAATCCACATAGTTCCCCTACAATACTTGAAAATTTTATAAGTATTTAACCACACAAGTAAGACAATGGCTGTTGTAGCAGCTACTTACTGGGCAATGAATTATCAGGGTTTGTCAGGGGATGTATTTAATGATTAATGAGAAAAGAAAAATAAAGCAGGAGTCACTTACTGTAGTCTATGTTGAATTGAGCAACTCCGGAACCAGGGTAGTAGGAGCCCTTCTCCACCGTGAGGAAGCAATGTTTATTTTGTTTTCCTTCAATTATTTCCTTTGCGCCCAAAGCTCCTTGTTTCATCAAATTCCAGCCTCGTATACATCCATCCAGACGAGGATTAATCTAATGCAACAAGATATAAGTCAAGGAGTAGATTTTAAACATATGCGGGAATGTAAAATGACTTTAATTGATCTTTAGTATAGGTTGCATTTGGATAGAAACCCCTTTTTTGATAGCTTATTAAAATACTTTTAATTGGGTTTAATTTTTCCTTTCTGATGGATAGTACTTGGCAGTAAAATAGACTATGCTGCTGCAGGCCTGGAGTTGGGTCCTGATGATACTTACAATCTGAGTTCCTACCTGTTTCTCTACTTCAGCCAGATCTAGCAGTAGTTTCTCTCTGTGCTTATGGAGTGGCCCTGGGCTCTAAGCTGCTTCCTGTCTTTGTGTGTGTGTGCATTTACAATACAGGTTAAAGTGGCCCAGGAAGATTCTAATCTTCAGGAACAAAAGGATCACATTCTTTAGGCTTTAACAAAGTATCCAGGCAGCTTCAAGATGTCTGGTAATGGTTTTATAAATGGTTGATTCTTTTTGAATAATTTGCTTTCTCATTAAAGTACCATAATTCATCAATTTCAAAAGTTTGGAACATTCATCCTGATATGGTTTAGCTAATCCAACTTAATGCTACATAGAAATCTATTAAAAGTTAAAAACAACTGCAAGTTGTGAAGACAGAAGTGTAGATAGATACATAGTAGTAAATATTTAAATTAGATCAACTGGCAAGAACATGAATTCAAGTGGCATTTTAAAACTCTTCAAAGATGGTGATTAATTTCTTGAACTCTATTCAATGGTTATTTGAGAAGCATTGTATTCAGAACATTGTATTCATCTGCTGTAACTAATATTTCTTATAAGGTGTTCAATCTACCCTATATGCTTGCTACCCATAACCTTCAAATTTATTTCTTAAAATAAAGCTAAGAAAGATGATTGGCTTCTACAAGATAGAGCTAGAGCTAGAGCTAGACCTAGACCTAGAGCTAGAGTTGGTAGAGGTAGAGGTAGAGGTAGAGGTAGAGGTAGAGGTAGAGGTAGAGGTAGAGGTAGAGGTAGAGGTAGAGGTAGAGGTAGAGGTAGAGATGTGTGTGTGATTAAATCTATGTTTTTGTACCCTCAACAGCTGAGTGTACAATATTATAATGAACACTGAGCTGACGACTTGAGAATTTAACACACCCACTGCTTAATGAACAATGCAGCAATTTAAATGGACACAAAACCACAAGGCTCATTTTCCCCTTTCCTTTCTATAATTTCAATGGTCTAAAGTTCTTTCCCATGTTCAATACAAGTTGTCACATTTGGTATGTTTAGCAAAATGACTTTCCATCAAGTGTCACGAAAACACATCTTCGAACCTATGACAGGTAAAGGAATCCACCCAAGATGAGAGGAACAAGCGGCACCATTACCGGTTTAATGAGTGCACTTTCCACCTTCCGAGGTAAGCCTGCAAAGTATATTTTGGTGTCCAGAAATCCATCAGTAGGTTTAAAGAGGCTCCCGAGTTTATTTATATTCATCACGGCCTCCTTGGCTATTTTAATGCTAACACTGTCATCTAATTCTTCCACAGACACCTGCAATTACAAAGACAAAGCAAGCATCAATGCATGGCCACATGATATACTGGTTTGAAAAAAAAATCAGAGTGTTCCATTACATAATTTTATATAACAATTAATTTAATATAATTTCCAATTTGTTCAAACTCACTTGAAGAACATAATTGTGATAAGTGTGATAAAAACAAATTTTAAGGTTATAGAACTGGATCTCAAATTAAAAGCACATCTTACTTTAAAAAAAAACTAACATTCTTAATTATAATCCCATATGCACTAAAGTAAACATGAACCTCTTTACCTGAGGAAAATTTTAAGTACTCTTATTTTGCAACTTACTTTGTACATACAGAATCAATGAAATAATAAGTTTGTAATATAAATCACAAGAAATTAGTAATGTCCAGCATTCTGAGTAGCATATACAAATTGTAACTTTTTCAAAATAGAAAACTAGTCTTTAAAAATCAAATGCTTGTTTCCACTCATTTTCCTGGCCGTCTGGGCTTCTCTCCTGTTTTCCCATACATGTGGGGGACCTCTAGAAAGTGACAGGATCCCAGGACTCAGTGGGATAACCTTAGCCAAAATGCCCAACAGTGGGGATATAGTACCTGGGAACACCACCTCTAGTAGATAGACGGGACCCCCCCAGTGGAGGGAAGGGGACACCAACCCACCTTCAAAAATTTTGACCCAGAATTGTTCCTGTCTAAAAGCAATGAAGGAACAAAAATCAAGAAGAGAATGAAGGAAAGGTCATCTAGTGACCAGCCTAACTTGGGATCCATCCCATGAGCTGGCACTAAACCCTGATACTATTACTAATGCTATGATGTGCTTGTAGTCAGGAGCCTAGCATGGCCGTCTTCTGAGGGGTTGTACTCAGCAGTCTATTGAGAGAGATGGAGATACTTACAGCCAACCATTGGTCTGAGGTTGGAGACCCCTCTGGAAGAGTTGGGAGAAAAAATGAAGGAGCTGAAGGGGATGGCAACCCTATAGGAAGACCAACAGTGTCAACTAACTGGGACCCCTAGGAGGTCCCAGAGACTAAACCACCAACCAAAGAGCATACATGGGTCCTGGCACGCGTGGACCCTGGCACATATGTACCAGAGAACTGTGCTGTCTGGTCTCACTGGAAGGGTATACACCTAATCCTGTAGAGACTTGGTGCCCCAGGGAAAGGGGATGCCCGGAGGTTTGGGGAGCACCCTCTCAGAGGCACAGGGGAGGGGGGATAGGGTGAAGAACTCTGGGAGGGGGGACGGCAAGGCAACATTTGGAATGTAAATAATTAAAATACTTTTTAAAAAATCAAATGCTTGTTTTTAAAAATGGTTGGAAGTGACAGTAAGCATGAATAGTCATCTATTCCATCTGAAGATTGTCGCTGCGATTCCCTCAAGTAAGACTGCCACACTTACAATGCAAAGGCTTACGAATCAATAACAGAAAGCAAAGGATAGCATGAAGACACAGTAAAATGTAATCGTGATCTCATTCTCTTTGTATTGATTTCTTGGGAATTAATTGCTAGCCACTTGAGTCATGTAGCCATCACACATCTCTGCTTTAAGAAACTTTTGGTTTTTGAAGTGTGTAAATCACTTCAATATTTTCAAGATGTAGTTTTGCATTTCCGCGTTTTTAAAAAGAAGTTGGGCTATAATTCAAGACACATGCTTCTAATTCCTGTACCTGCACACATGACCCCTGTGAGTAGAAATTTGCATGAGTAAGCTGGGCTCCCTTGTAACTCCAGTTATCCACTGCTGATATCATATTACTGAAATGAATACCAATTTAAAAACATGAACAGAATTTTAAATGAAGACTTACAATAAAAAATTTCCCCAGAATGTGTTCACTGTCCCCCACCCCGGGATGAACACCCGCAATCAAAACTACAGTCATTGCTCTGAGTAGCTGCAATGCTCTCCCAACTTCCCCCTGCTCTCCATTGACTGGTTTCCAAAAAGCCATCAGATTTTGATCAGAATCATTCTTTACAATGAAAATCACATTCTGTCACTTTTCAAAACTATCGAGGGACTTCCTATGCAGCATAAAATCCAAGTCTTCACTATGGTCCCCAGAGATCTTTATCCAGGTGGTCATATTATAGACGTCAATTTTGACTTCATTTTTTAAAATCTCTTCTTCTTTTCCATTCCAATTCATCTACACTCATCTTTGTGCTGTTAGTCAAACATCCCAAATACATCCTCCCCCATGAGACTGGGAATTTGCTGTTTACATTACACAGAATCATTTTAGGATCTCACCCATATTTTTCCTGGCTTGCTCTCTCAAGCTGCTTCCCAGATATAACCTTATCAGGTCAGCCCCTCCGATTTCACAAGCTCAGTGACTATGTGAACACTCAGTGTCACACCATTGCCTTGTCTTGCTTTCGTCTTCACTGCATCAATAAGCACTTGACATAATTTATCTGTAGTTTGCTGCTCAGTGTTACAATGTAAGCTTCATATGAACAATGACTACATCATTGTAGGCTTACCAAGTAGAATAAGGATTAGCAAACATAGGGCTCAATAAATACCCATTGAATGAGTTGCAATACCAGAATAGGGATCATACAAAATAGGTAACAAAATCACTTATAAAGCAACATAATTTCCTTAGGTTTTAGCCATGATAATTGTTTAATCACAACACAGCATGTTTAATAGTTCTTATGCAACATATAACAATTCAAGATCATGTATTTTAATTTTAATTTGTTTTTAAAATATATTTTGAAAATCTAAGATAATTTAAGATTAAGGAAACAAATGCTATGGAATAAATGTCCAGTTTATAGACTAATTTAAATGAATGTTTTTCAGTTAAAGTGATACACAAGCATGAGGGCCTGAGTTTTTGTTTCCCTAGCACTGTTGGTTACAATGATGAACACCATAATTCCAGTGCCAGGGAGGAGGAGACAAGGAGATTCCTGGAATCTGATGACCTGTTAGTCTTGCCAAATCAATGAGTGCCAAGTGAGAGATCTCCCATGTCAAAAAATAAAGTCCAGACACCAGACTTCAGATTAAGCATATATGCACAGGTAGGCTAATACTACTCATGGACACAAACAAACTTACAAACACACACACTCTCTCACATATTATATAAATCTTATATAGGGCGATTTAAATTAAAATATGAACATATCACTAAATACTAGTCTAAAAATGACCATAGGTACGGAATATAAAACCTGGAACTGAAGCTGGGTCCCAGCATCTATAGTCATACCTCCAAGAGCCCCCATTTAAGGTGGAAACTCTTGAAAGAGCAGCAGAATGCAGAAAGATGCTGTGGCTCTCCCTCACGTCTCCCCACTGTCAAAAAGGAGCAATCTTTTCTCCAAGAAAAGTCCCACTTTTAGTTAAACTGATTAAAAAGATTAACTCAATTATTAATAGAAAAGAAATTGATAATATTATGTGAAAATGTTAAAGTTCTCTGGTTACTAGATCTCCTAAGTATATACTATTTGTTCAACAATGGCTACTTAACTGTATACATATACTTAAAACTGAATTCACCTCCTGGTGCCGCTACTATATGCATTTCTCTAATTTAAAAAAATTTCTCATGACAACTAAGGGTGGTTTTCTTTGATTAGGTATGTCTTTATATTAACTATACCTGTTAATGATTTCTGACCTACAGGGGCGACCCAATAATTCACCCAAAAAACAGCTACTAAAAAAAGAGTAAAAATTTAAAAACAAAGCAGTTTGAACATGGAACAATTTCTCAAATTGCTATCAAGAGTAATTGGGTGTAGAATCAAAGTCCTAACATTGGTTGATCCAACATATTTTGCTTTGCTTTCACTTAACAATCAGATTATAATTTTACAAAAAGTATATCCAAATAAAGAGATTAATATGAAATCCCAAACATACCATATTCCATATACCATTGTTAATAACATTGCCTCCAGTTGTGATTTGGGTCGAAAACTCATTCTTAAACTGAACTTCAATCTTTCCATCACGAAGTGCAATCAGGAGCCAATTTGAGTGATCGAGAGATTCTGCATACAGTATGATGCCCTCTGAATCATATGTCCGAAAATCAAATTCAGCTGAAAATCTAAACAAAGAGACAGTCTTCTTGTGAGAAATTCAGAAGGTTCAGTGGCTCCCCCAGCACACACACCTTGGATGGACAAACAGTACTATACAAAAAGAAGAAAAATTCCCTGAAATTTAAAGATTTTTTTTTTTAAAAAAGCAGCATTAAACTGTTCACAGGTTGTTTCTCATTCCATATGTATTTCAAAACCTGTTTATTTGGTTTTTTGATTATTCTTGTAGTCTTTTTCTCGATGAGTCAATACATTGCTATTATTTTTTTCATTCATGGTATATCTTTTGAAAGTATGTATTTTGTCTCAGATACTATAAAATATGGTATTAATACATGTGTACAGGAATATTTATACACTCTATATGTAAGAGTAAGGTGTGTTTGTGTGTGTTTGTGTGTGTGTGTGTGTGTTTGTGTGTGTGTATGTGCTTGTGCATGTGTATGATTGTACTGTATCCATGAATAAACAGTGAAAGATGTTACAATGACAATCTTGGTTTATCTAGCAAAAAACCATATGCTCCCTATGATTTCACATATTCCAGATAAGAATCACTCACAGGGCTCCATAAGATAGCTTTTAGATTATTAAAAATATAAGTAACCTTTCCTGTAATTATCAAAAAAGGAGCACTATGGCTCTGCACTATGAATCTCAAGGGCTGACCAGAAAAAAAAGGAAAAAAAGAAAAACCATGACCTCAGAGAACCTTTGTAGGTGCCCTGACAATTTACATAACACACCAAGTTTGTGAGAGACATGATCAGAATGCTCTGTGCCTTTGTTCTTTCTAAAAAGGTTGTTGGCTGTGTCACATGAGATTTCCAGAGACAAAAAAGGCCGCAGGCAGATTCATGAGGGAAAAGAGAATAGGAATATATAGTTGTGTCAAAAAGAAGCTAGAAGAGCTTAGCCAACAAGAGGTAAGGGCTTAGCCACCACGAGGAAAATGGCTGCTGAAAAAATCTGGGCCCCCCTCCTTTCTGGGGCATGAAAAGTTTCACAGAAAAGACAGGAAGAAATTAAAGGAGGGAAAGAGGGAAAATGAAGGCAGAAAGTAAGCAAGAAAAAAAGAAAAGCTTGGCGAAGCTTTCCAAATGCTGAAATAGCATAAATCACTGAGGTAGGATGCATGGGAATTACGCTTAACAAATCCAGCCTAGCTCGTTGTTGGGGGACAGTGTACTCTAATAATGCTTGCTGTTATCAAGACTCTGGGCATGTGTCCAGTACAGCTATTACACGGAAGGACAATCTTAAGGATTCTGTATGTTGACTGATTGCCTGCCCTTAGAATATGTCTTGAGAATCAGCATGAAGATCCCCAACACATTTGCCAATAAAGATGATTTTAAAACAAAGACAAATAGGAAAAGGGAAAAAATAGTTATATAATTATTTATTATGTAAACTAGGTAAAAGAATTTGAGTTAAAGACTTAAGACTTCTCTTTGTTCAAAGCAAGTCAACAAAAATATATATATTCCATTATCGCATATCAATAGTCACAAAGGCAATACCATTAGTCACAAAGACAGTATCAATAGTCACAAAGGCAACAAAGAAAAGAAGGTAGAACAAATATCCCCATAGTTTGAATTTCCAAGAAAATATCTGAAAGAGATAGAATGTCAACTGTGTTGGATGCAAAACACTGTAACAGGAATACACTGGCCTGTTTATAGTTAAAAAAAAAAAAAGAACTATTTCCTTTGGCATAAGAACTTATGTCCTTCCTCACAATTGTCTGAGCATTTGGCTGTTGTTGAAAATGAACTGTCTTGCCAAAAATTAAATCTGTGTTTGGTCATGATCTCCAGAAGTTGATCCTATTATGGAGATAATTTCCTTTTCTTTGAAAAATAAAGCTAAATGGTATTTCAAAGAGTCATGTTCTGCATATGTTCTTTCTGGAATGCATCACTGCATCCTGACTCATTACATTGGGGATCGATTTATTCTGTTTCAAAATTATTGTAGAGTTGAAAAAAGACAGAATTTGTCAACATTTGGCAGGGCAAAAGGAAGCAGTTAGTTATGAAAAGCAGAGGTGAAGAAATTTGTTTAAAACAAGTTTATAAATATTCATCGAGCTGTGCCTTTAATATGTAATGTATAAAAAATATTACACTTCTGAAAGTGCAAAGTAAATAAATCAATGAAGAAACTAAGGAAAGACTCTTTTCCTAATTCTGATCCAATGTTAAACATCAAGTCAGAATGAGTTGTCAAAAAGAAATAAATAATCTCAAAGTAAATACAGATATATTTTAACAGTTTTCTCCCTTTCTCTTCTTGTTCTTATAGCAAAGTTGGATTTCCAATAATCTCAATCACTAAAAATAGTATTTATTTGGAAATGTTTGTGGTGAAACTAAATATTCAAGAAAATGAAACATCTAAGACACACACCTGCTTAAAGGAATCTTAGAATAAGTTTTTTTATTGAATATTTTATTTACATTTTAAATGTTATCACCTTTCCCCATTCCCCCACACACACTCAGGAACCCCCATCCCATCCCCCCTCCTGCTGCTTCTATGAGTACCTGCCCCCACCCACCTACCTACCCACTCCCACCTCCTCATACTCAAATTCCCCCACACTGGGACATCCACCCTTCATGAGACCAAGGATCTCCTCTCCCACCTATGCCCAACAAGGCCATCCTCCCCTACATAAACAGCTGGAGGTATGGGTTCCTCCCTGTGTACTCCCAGGATGGTGGTTTAGACCCTGGAAGTTCTGGTTGGTTGGTATTTTTGCTCTCCCCATAGGCCACAATCCCTTTCAGCTCCTTCATTCTTCTCTCTAACTCGTCCATTGGGAACACCATGATCAGTTCAATGGTTAGCTGTGAGCATCTGCCTCTGAATATGTCAGGCTCTGGCAGACCTCTAAGGAGACAGCTATATGCTCATTCACATAAAACTTACACACATTCAGTTAAACTGATCAGTGGGCAATCAATGTTTAATGAAACTTAAACATTCATGATTATATAATTAGTATATTTTGAAATTTAAGCTCTGAACTCAACTTTAAATAATTTTCTCTTCTCTTTATAACAACAAAATTCTAATTTATTGCTTCTAGCTTGAACATATATGCATTGAGATGCTAACATGTATGTATTTGACAAATTAGAACTGACTGAGAAATGCACACAAAAACACTCTCCCTAATATCAATCTAACTACAAAATAACAAAAGTTGAGGCATTCGAATTGCCAAACTAAGTCACTATTTCTTTAGTCTATTACTCAAGCCAATTTGTCAATGTTTCTTATTACTTTTGAATGTAATGATACTCCATCAATACACTGATTTTCTTCACTTGTAATATATAAAAGAAGAATGAATATTTCGCAAGTGGGTTAGATCCCCTTTTACAGCTTCTTAGTAAATGCGTAATCACTGGGAAATGAAACTGGATGGGATAAAGTAAGTTTGCATTGGCAAAGTGAGCCTGGACAGATTTGAAAAGGCTCTAGTGTGGAAGCTGAACATGGGAAGATCAGCTAAATGGTAATGTACCAAAGTTATCCCATTGATGACAAATCTGCAGTGGTCCATCTTCCACCTTCCTTTTATACTTGACTGTTTAAACTGTATGAATTCCCACCAACATTGGTTCCTCACCTGGTGATATCTGGCAATCGAAATTTCAGGTATAAGACAACTCCCGCAAACTGCTCAGCCAAATATAATAATTCATAATTTTTGTCAAGATCCAGGGAAAGGCACACTGGAATCCCCTAGAGAAAGCAGAAAGTAAGGATTGATGTGTGCTGTTTGTCTTCTCTTTTTAGTTCTCAAAATAGCCTCTGAAATTCTCACACAATAGAATTTCTTTGCAAACAACAATGACTATCTTCCATTTCCTTTTAAAACTCATGCACAAAGCCTCCAAAAATACATGTGTGTGGCTTCAGATTATCTTTATTATTTCTTTCACACACCTCAGTGCTAAACACAGACCTTTTCATCAAGTTCCAGAAAGTATATCGACAATAAACTGTACAATGCCTTGTAGTAATTATATCTACAAATCATTCATTTGGTTATTAAAAGTCTGTTGTGAGGGCAAATGTGCTGTCTAGATACTCAAGGGAATACTGACAACTGGAGAGGAAATAAAACTAAGTTAGCATCTCAGTCTCTAAGAAATTTACATGAAAATGACTTGAAGTCGTGTGATCTTTTATCAAGTATTTGTTTCTTAAAGCTCAACAGGAACATTCGAAAGATGAGATTTTGGATAAAACAAAGGGCTTTTACAAGTAATTCTGCAGTTATTAAGTAGAGCCCTCCCTGGGGAATTTCATAACCATTCCAATGTGAATAGTGGTATGCTCTATAGGACATGTGGAAATAATAAGAGATTAAGCTATAAAATAAGAAATCCTACCTTATGGCCTTTCAAGTCACCCCAGAATTCCTACTTACATCCATGAATCTCCTTATCTTTCTCAGTTTATTTTTCACATTGGGTAGTGTGATTTTTTTAAAACAGTTTTTCTGAGCATATACTGACTCATCTTGGTTGTATGTATATGTGTGTGTGTATGTATGCATGTTTGTGTGTGTATATACTTATATAGTTAATTATAGTTGTACACAGTGAAATCATTATTTAGGCATTTAAAACAGTCTGTCTAATAATCATATATAATTTCACCTTCACATGTTTTAAAATGCAAGAATAGAATCACTAGCATGTGTGCCTTATTATTTCTAAAAGAAATTTAAAAAAAGAACAGAGATGAGGGGGTCAAATGTTGACTTTTTTATTCAATAAGGAAAAAATTAAAACTTCCTGCCAATTGATTTCTTGGGTCAATTATGCATTAAATGTGAGTGTTGAAAAGTGTATTTGAGACACTCTGGTGAACACAATCGGTCTCTTAATTGTGATACATTTATTGTCACTAAATCTTCTTGTGACAAGTTTGTTTCCATCAGGAAGTTTATGAACACTGAACATTTATGAACTCAGACAAGCAATCGGCACCCTGGCCATAGTGTGATACAGAAGGATGCTATAAAATATTCTCACTAATTTCTATGTTATATTCTTTTAGTGGGATTAGAGGACACTGGAGATGGATGCCTTCTTTATCATCAGCCACTTGCAAAACCAAAGAGTCCAACTGCCAGACTTTAATTACTGGTCAGAGAAATGAGACCTGAGTCCTATCTCTGGGACTGGGAGGAGACATGCCACACTGAGATGCAGGAAGGTTATTACTTGATAACTATCTAAAGTGTAAGTGATAGAATTCCAGGATCCGAACACTTCATAATGGATAACTATCTGGCTTTCTGACAAAGAACAAAGGCATGCTTTTGCCCTCTCAAGTCAGAGTCAATCAGATAGACCTGTCAATCATGTGGGCAGGAAAATGGCACTCAGGAGAGTTTTCTGTTCTAGAGATTTTATGTCTTTAAAAAGACACAAAGGAGAAAGAGGAGGAGGAGGAGGAGGAGGAAGAGGAGGAGGACAAGGAGGAGGAGGACGAGGAGGATGAGGAGGACAAGGAGGAGGAGGACGAGGACGAGGAGGAAGAGGAGAAAGACCAAACTACATAAGGGCACAATGTAATCTAGCCATTGTCCACTCTCACCTTGTGAGAATGTTCTTGATTCTTACCCCTAGAGAGCCATCAGCTCTGCAATGTGTTCTCTGGTTTCTTACCACTCTTAACCTCTGTGAGTATGTTTCTCTATTGTACAATGAATTCACCTATCTTCCACATTGTGTTCTATATTTCACCTGAATTCTTTCAATGAAGATCATTAAGCCAAAGACCAGGGATCCTGAAAACATCTGGATCTCTCATTTCCAAAAACAGGGAAGAAGTTTAGGGTTGTTTTCTTCTCATTCTCTGTGTAGCCCTGGCTGTCCTGGAACTCACTCTGTAAACCAGACTAACCTCAGAGATCCTTCTGCCTCTGCCTCCCAGGTGCTAGGATTAAAAGTGTGCACCATCATCCCCTGCTTAGGAAGAAGTTTTGGATTTAGAAGGTTTACCTCACAACTCTTCTGATCTTGGGCAAGTTTGAATCCTTTCTTCCCATCACAGTAACAAGAGTAGCCTCCGGGGTAATTGACACACAGTTGAGCACACATGTTCTCAGAGCATTCATCCACATCTGAGATGGAAAGAGAAGAACCCTTCATAGCATCTAAATGTTTGATCCAATAGACATAAATGCAGTTCCTTAGAAAACAGAATACCCACAATAGTATATTGAAACATTTGACCTGGAAGTTCCATGGAGCTGCAAGTACCATTTTTATGTATGTGTTCCAAACATTTTATCATTTTCAATAATTAACAATAGTTTAGTAATTATGCTAATTTTCTGATTTTCATCTTAGGGTCTCCATGGTCATTTGTGATTATAAAAATTTCATTTAAATCATCTCTCAATTCTTTGTTTTGAAAATAAGGAATAACTGTAAAAGAGAAGAAATCAGGAGGATAAAGGTGAAGACGTGGATGGAGAGATAGTAAAAGGAAGGAAAGATAACCTTAATGGATTGAAAGTTAAATCAGTGGAGAAACTGACAAAATCAAAAACATCAGAGTTTTTCTAATATAATAAGGCAACAATTAATACTGACCATATTGGTTTTTATTCAAAAGAGATATGGGGTAGTTTATTTTCTAATCAAATAGGAGTAATACTGTCCAAGGACACAGACTAATGTGAGCATAAGTCTTAGGCTCCAACATGGAAGCAATTTTATGAAATGTTTATAGTTAAGAGATCAAAGAAATTTATAAGTCAAGGTACTAGTTAAATACACTAGTGACAACATTAAGGAGATAAGGCAAAGTGGATAGGCTTCAGATGTTATCTTTTGTTTATTAAAACCTAGGGTTTTGTTAATAAAGTCCCAAGAGTGTTTATCTGTTAGTCATGGGATATTTAGTCTGACACAGAGGTGGTATTTAGAGAACTCACCTAAGATAAATTGTAATTAGGTTCTGGACCGCAACAATTAGAACTCCTCATAGTCACTGCAATTTTAGCCAATCTACCACCCTTTGTAGTTGCAACTTCTTTCTAATAATTCAGATCCACAGAGTTATCCACCATACATAGCTAGACAGAATTCTCTACCCATTCATTTGCTATTTGGTCGCCCTCATGACCTTGGCCATTGAACTCTGACTTTCAGGTTCAGTGTCCTTCTATATAACCAATCAGTGCATGGGCCTCATGTGCTCATTTCCTCTTCCCTGGTGATTATGCTCCCCTAGCCAGCCTTTCCCAAATTCCCTTCTCGTCATCACCAAGATGCTTTGACAAAACCACCTCTACTTCGCTCAGAAGTCCTTCATCTCCCAACAAATTAATATCTTTTGTTTTGTGTTTTAGAGTAACTATATTTTCACTCTCTCATCAACTCAGATCAGAGATCATATCACATATTAATACATGTTGATTTAATCATGTGTCACCAGTTGGTATTTCTAAGTGGAGAGTGTAGATATTTGACTCATCATTTTGCTTCCACTGTAGAGTATGACCATAAATGATGCTGAATAATGAATATCTGTCATGGTCATGTTGGGTGATATTAAGAACTTGTGGCCATAAATTTAATGATATATATTAATGTTTGTGTTTTTCAAACTTCACTGTGCTATTGCTTTCCATAATTTGAAATATTTTAACTGATCTGTCCCCAGCTCTCCACTTTGCAATAACATGTCTGAGCACAAGACTATTCCAGGGCTATGGAAAGTCCCTGAAATTACATTTGATATACCCTATTATAAATTTATGAAATTCTTATTAATGTTATCATGTAATGCATGCTCTTTTAAATACTTTAAGATACATTTCCAGAGTTAATCATACTTTAAATGCATTAAAATTATATGGTATAATACTAAAGATATATATGTACCCATTTATAAAACATTTAAAATCTGTCCGTTAGCAAATGAAACTACAATCTAGGTTATGAAAATGCCTAATGATGATGATGATAGCAGATAATAGAAGCTGTTCAGGCCATTTAGGGCCAAGGACTTTGATCCTTATCCTTGGACAGAAGCTAGAAAGGTTCATGATCTCGTCCTTGTTGGAAGCGCCCCAGAAATGCGAACAGTGTTTGGGAGTTTTAGTTTTCAGTCTGATTTCTTGTTATCATACCTCTTCTTTTACATAGCTGCCTAGAAGCTATATCTGAGGATGTGACTGAAACTGTACCTCTGATACCTGAAACAGATATTGGGGCAGGTGATTAGACTGACACCTCACTTCTCATTCCTCAACAGTTTCTGCCAGAAGTCCTCCAGTAAGCCCCTAAACAAGCAGATCAGTGGTACCCCAGTTCTGGGTGGCTGCTAGCCCACAGAAGCTCTGCTCATTTGCATCCTCTTAAACACTACCTACGAGCGAGCACATTATAAATTCCTTTCTAAAACTTAACTTCCCCGTGGTCTATGAGATTCATCTCTGTTAGGGCTAGGGCTAGGGCTAGGGCTAGGGCTAGGGCTAGGGCTAGGGCTAGGGCTAGGGCTAGGGCTAGGGCTAGGGCTAGGGCTAGGGCTAGGGCTAGGTTTAGGGTAATGCTTAATTAACAAGACAAGGACCTGACTTGTGGAGGTTCTGGGAATACTAACTAGCACCCTAAGTCCTTCATCAAGCCAACCTGAATTTAAGAAGTCTCAGTTGTAATTAGAACCCTGCTTATCTCTGTTTCAGTGAATCAGAAGTCCTAGTTTTCCTACAGAAATTGCCATGAGGAATATTGGAAAGCAGAATTGTATGCATGTTGACCAAGAGTGAGGTAAAACATTAACATTTCAATAGCAGTATAAACACTTAGGGAAAATGAGCATATATTATGAAATCACTATCCATTTATATAAATTCCAAGTCAGAAAGTCTTATTCGAGTTACAGATTGTCTGTAATAAGAAAACCATTAAGAGAAAGCTCAAGTTGTCTGCTTCACAGTTTGTATTTGTGGTGATGAAGAGGTTTTGAAAACAGACAAGTGTCAAGTGGAGGCTGCAGAGGTGTGGTGACTGATTAGTGTGTCACTCAGTTCCCCACTTTATAATCATTACAAGCATACTGTGTGTTCTATTATTATCGAGGTGATTAGTTTTAGACATGATGTTAATTTGATTTGAAAGTTTAAAACATTTAAAGGGATATATATGAGAGAATTCCTAAACAATCTAAAGCAAAAGCAGAGTTAATGCATTTAAGTTAATGCATTTAGTGTTATGCTGACACTATGGCAACCTTACAAAGAGAGAGCAGCATCCACAGGGGCTGTTCACACCATAGGTGTTTGCATCACAGATCAGTAATCCTCAGCTTTCTAATCGAGATAATAAATATCTTACTTCAACTCTCTTGTTATAATTATATTTTATTTTGTATGCATGTGTGTGCACCTGAGTGCATAAATGTGCACCATGTATGTACAGGTGTTGGTGGAGGCCGTAGGAGAGAGTCAGACCCACTGAAACTGAAGTGGCAGGTGGTTGGGAGCCACATGTCATGGGCTTTGGGAACTGAATCCAGATCCTCTGCAAGAGCCTCTGCAATGCTCTTAACTGCTGACTCAGCTCTCCAGTCGAATTTTCTATTTTAAAATAAGCTACACATGCACAGAAAAATGATTGGAAAAAACTATGGAATAAAACCTAAGGTGCTAAGAAGGCTCATGGTTTCAGTCCCATAATTAAAGCTTGAGTCATTTCTCCTTGTCTATAAGAATTTTTTCCTTTCAAATTCACATTTTCTTTGAAGGTTATCTATAGGCTATAAAAATGTGTTCATTTTGCTTTTATAACAAGGAAGTCTCTAGCTTTTATGAAGGTTAATAGATTAAATGGGATGAGTGATATTAAATATCAAAGACCATGAGTCTTACTTGGCACTTCTATTCTGTAAGAAAGCCTGTAATCACCAAACCAACCAAGCTGTATCAGCAGTTAGCAAAAGCATTGCTTTGTTTGGTATTAACTTGGGGTTCAAACCCACCATCTCTACCATAAGCACAATTATTCTACCTTTACAAGATTTTGATGAGGGATCATATCTGTAGCCTTCGGGACATTCACATTCGAAGTCTCCTGGAATGTTCTTGCACATGGCTGTGCCACAGATACTCGGCATTAGAGAGCACTCATCCACATCTACAAATAAAATCAATATGTTAACATTTTCCAGTATCAAATAAATGCTTATTTGGTTTCTGAACCATATTTTATATTTATATTAACAGACTTGAAACAGCAAATAACAAATTTATCACCATGTTTTAGTTCCTTAAATATGATTTCTGCATGAATTCATAGAAAATTTGCCTGATATTCCTTTATAGGAATGGACCAAAAATAATTTTTTACTTTTTTAGTGATTTTCTTATCTACCAGAGAGAACTATAAAAACACATGAAAGAAGAGACTCCATTATATTCTTAATATTCTTTAAATATGCTTCTAAATTTGTATTTCTGAAATTGGCTGTAAATGTAGTTTCACTTAATTCCTCACTGCAAATATTTAACTAATGTGAACCCATCTGTTTTATCTTTTTACTTGGAAGTAGACAAATACCTAATCTTGCCTTCAGTAAACAATTATTAACATTTAAGGTGGAACTGAATAAAGTCTAAAAGCATTTCTAAAACTTCACTTATACTAGTATACTTTATTATCTTTTAATGTTCTAGAAATTTCAGATGCATTGTTGTATTATACAGTATACTGGGAAGAAAAAGATAGATTGCAAAGGGGGCAGAGGGTAGCAATTCCAAGCAAACAAAAACAAGTGAGAGACAGTTCTACATAGATGCAATTACTGCTCAGCGTTGTTCATGTAGGTTCATGGAGACAGACAATGTTAAATGGGAAATACATTTCCAACTTTGAAAATTGGCATGTTTATCTGCGCATATGAACAGATGAAAATGTAGACATTGCTCTGTTTCAAACAATTCACTCCCAAATAAAAAAAAACTAATCCTTGTAGTAAGGAAAATGTTTCTACATCCTAAGTATGTCAATGTCAGTGTTCTAAAGGTGGATGGAATTATACAAGAATTATGTAAATATTACTAATTACAGAAACCATCTAATACTTATAATCTCTAATATTTCATAAAACCTAGAATGAATCTTCAGTTAATTAAAGAAGAGTTGAGTTTCATAAAGCTTTTTAAAAGTCCATATGACTAGAAGAAAATAAAAACACATTACTTAAATTATTTGGCTTTAAACAGATTTGTGGGGAAATATGTAACTCATAAGAATTAGGTGCAGCACATTGACATTGTGACTCTATATCCACATCTAATGTCCGCTGGGGTTTTAGACTTTCATATTTAGTCAATAACCGCCATCCTAATTCCCTGTCTTTCCACACTACAGCCAAGGTCCTTCTGTTATAGTTTTCCACATATTTTTCTGTAAGTTCTGTGTTCTGATGCATATCTCACATACATCAGTATGTAAAGAAAGAGCCAATCGCATATGCTCTAATCTGCAGAAACATTCTGTTGGTTGTTTGGCAGCACTGAGAAACGTACCCAGGGCTTCCACATGCCAAGCATGCACTCCACCAATGAACTGCATTCCCAGCAAACCAACAAACAAACCAATAAACAAACAAAAACAAACCATGTACATGCATGTATTGACTCAATGTGAATATGAAAAATTGACAAAATTTGAATAAAGATATTATTAAAGTAGGAATATTAAAAAAATATTAAAGTAGAAATGGGTACTGTCTCTATAAAGTACATGGTATCCTGAATTATAATGGTTTTCTATACCTGCTTTTCTAATGATGCCCCTACTCTAATAGCCAAACTAAAAACTCTAAATAGACAGAACAAGAGACTTGTACAGTCACAAATTGGATAATGGCTTGGAAGAGACTGGTAGTAAATGCATTTCAGATTCATCCCACAGCACTTTAAAGTACACTATAGTGAACTACACAATACGGAATATTGCCAAGCCAAGGGAAAGTTCCTTAAATATGAATTCAGATGGGGGATTTTCTAAGACAAAAATAAAGGCTTACACAGTGAAACTTCACATATAATCTACTGAATTTTTAACCTCTTAATTAAACAAAGGAGGAAGAAAGAAATCTTTCTTTTTTTTTTTTTTTTAAAGGGTTTCTGCTTCATAGAAAGATTTTACAGCAGGATCAGAATTCTGGCTTGAGCTATACATTCTCCTAGCATGAATGTCTGTAGATTTCTTACAGTAATTCAAGCAGTCCAGTGATACAGGATGTGCAAGGAAAAAGAAGGAAAACTCCGGTAGACAAAGATTCATAGAGAAACCCAAAAGAAATATACTAACCACATACAAAAAGCTAACCTGACAGATTATTTAAATTCAAAGAAAAAAAAGAGTTAAGAACAATGGTGGAATAGTTATGTGTAAAGTGAATGAAAAACAGATTCTCCATTTTTCTCATAACCATGACTGGAAAATGTCGTGCAAAATAATGGATTTATTTTGAAAATCAGAAAGATATTTCTGAAAAGCAAAGATAAGATATAATAGTGAGGTTATTAAGAGCTGCAGATTTCTTTGTGTAGCTTTTGTTCCACTTACAGAACAGTAGAAGGAAAGTAGCTGATTCTGAGTATGGAACAATGGCTTTGCAATGTCGGTAGCACCGAAGCTTCTCTTTTTATGAAGTGCTTAAATTATCTTTATTTATAACCGAATGAATCCTTGAAATATGCACTTGGGCATATGCACACACAAGAAGAACATGAAATACTCTTGTCATTGGTATCACAAACTAAGACAGAATCACAGAGTATCACAAGGCTCCGGGACATAGAGGCATATCTACTCTAAGAACTTTCTTTCTTTCTTTCTTTCTTTTTTATCTTTCTTCTTTTTTATTGGATGTTTTATTTACATTTCATATGTTATCCCCTTACCTTATCCCCGCCCAGGAACCCCCTATCCCATCACCCCTCCTCCTGCTTCTCTGCGGATGTGGCCCTACCTACCCCCCCACTCCCACCTCCCCACCCTCAAATTCCCACCCACTGGGGAGTGTTTCCACAGAACTTTCCCAGGGAAATTCACACAGTGAATGCATTTGTATTCAGTTTCTGGACTCTTACCTTTGCAGTCTTTCTTATTTGCAAGCATAGCAAAGCCAACTTTACAGGAGCAGTGGTAACTTCCAGGAGTGTTGTCACAAATCTGGCTGCAGCCTCCATTGACATTCAAGGGATCTTTACATTCGTTTACATCTACAATGGAAAAATAAATTGTTTTTAAAGTAACAACACCTTCAGATAATTTGTCATGCAGCCATTCCAGGAAAGCCAAGGGGTGTGGATTTTTTATACGTACCAAACTGACACCTGTCTCCGTGCCAGCCTGGTTTACAGATGCAAGTGAAGGCAGCTTGCCCGTCTTTGCAGCTCAGATACCCATCTTCATTGCATGGCAGAGGGTCACACTGGTCTGGAATGGCTAGAGGAAACAGACCTCTATTTAATTTTTACCTTGAGCAAGGAAACTGAATAGCAGATCTAGAAACATACAGTTGCATGCCTGCAACCAATAAGGCTACGCTGGATTCTTTCAAACAGTACTTGCTCGATAAAAATAGAGTGTAGCCTGGAAGTGTAACTCAGTTGGTAGAGTTGCTGTCAAGGATGTGCAAATTACTAGGTTTGATACCAACCACTGCATATATTTGATGGGGTGGGTTCATGCCTGTGATCCCTGCACTCAGGAGGTGGAGAAGGAACTCATGAGCTGGATGAAGGTCATCTTTGGCTGTACAGCCAGTTCAAGACCAGACTGGACTACATAAGAAGCTGTCTCAAAAAAAAAAATAAATTTAAATATGGAAGAAATGAAAAAGTGAAAAATTGCTCAGACTGTCCTGAAACTTACTATGTAGACCAGGTCGGCCTTGAACTCACAGAGATCTGCCTGCCTCTGCCTCCAAAGCACTGGGATTAAAGGTACCACTGAGCCAGGAAAATACTTCACTTGATCTAAGCCATAAAACAACTCCATGAGGAAGACAGAGTAAGCAAATTATTCTCCTCGAGATGACAGAATTTGACAATTCCAACTTGAAGCAAGATGGACTAAAAGGGACCTTCTTGTCTTAAATAAGTAGAATCCTTATTAAAATGCATGAAACAGCAGTTTTCAAACACTGGAGAATGAGTTGCAGAAAAACAAAAGAAAATGAGCCCAACTATCAAATGGTGGTCACTGTAAGACCTATATAAACTTCAGAGAATAAAAGCTGTTATCATACACACTCTTTCATATTTATATCATTAGTGCCTGAAAGTTAAAAGAATGTGCATAGCTCTCCTCTGACCTACTAGTTAACTATAACAATTGATCATAATGTGTGATTATACAAGTCTAGCTTAAATAAAGATGCTAGAAATAAAACTTCTGACAGCCAATAACTTGAAGCCTACCATCACTGACCACCACTCAACTAAAACATTTGGAGAAACTTTCATTTTAAGTATAACAGATGCATTTACAGTGGAAAATTATGCTTCTATATGCTGTTGAAAAATGCATTTCTGCTTGGCATAGCTCCCTTTCAGGAATTCACTTACTGGTTTTCAAACATCAGTTTATAGCAGCACAGTGGTTTTTTACTCCCAAGACTTCTATGTTATTTTGTTTTGTTTTTTTCTTTTTTTTTCTATGTTGTTTTTAAACATCAGCTTACCATTGACACAGCTCCGGAGGTCAAAGTAGTAAGCATTAGCTGACTGCCTTGCAGCAATGAATGAGCCAACACGGAACTCGCCCAAACAAGCTGTAAGAGAGAAAAGATGTAATTGTATCTGAATTCCACGGTAGAAATTACCCTAAAGCCGGGATACTTCCATTCCTGTAGCTTCACAAGAGTTAGTACTAACAGACCATCTTAAAAGTTTCCATCTCCGCTAAACCTTCTCAGTTAAACTGAAGATGCTAAGAGTGCCAGTCTGGTAGTGCAGCAGCTTTAAGCTGATACATTTTTAACAAGATGGAGAAGACGGTCTGTTTTATGGTTCAAGTGCATGCTTTCCTCTTCCCTTGAGTAACAGCATTTTATCTAAAACATGCTTTGATGAGTACTGAATTGTAAATGTTATATAGAAATGGATTGACAGATGAACAAAATACAACATTGGTAGTATGAGGAATAGAGATGTTTTTAAAAGATATTTAGTGTGTGTGTGTGTGTGTGTGTGTGTGTGTGTGTGTACGTGCTCATGCACATACTGGGACATATGGAGAGAAGAGCACAACTGTTTAGGAGTCAGCTCTTTCCTCCTCGATTTTTGAGGCAACAGATCTTATGGTTTCTGCTGCTGCGCTAACTCCAGAGCTTCTGCCAGTTGTCCTATCTCTGCCTCCCATCTCCCCCTGTGAGTGCAGGGATTGCAGACATGACCCAGCATGTCTCCCTGGGTTCTGGGCATTATACTCAGGTCATCAGGGTATCATACAAGCTCTTTCACCTGCTCAGCTATTCAACTAACTCATAGATGCACTGAAAGAAAAAAAGTTCTGGGTGGTCTCCATTGAGGAGTTTACGGTGACCTGTGGCCACACAAGTAAAACCGGTGACTGGTGGCCACACAGGACATGCACCTGGCATGTTCTTCGTTTATCCTCTCGAGAGAAAGGATTACCGCTGTTTAGACTGAATCAAAAGAAGGAGAACTTTGGAGCTCGCCTTTTAAAGTTCAGGGTTTTTTGTTTTTTGTTTTTTTTTCTCTTCATGTATGATGGCGCTTTGTGTCGGGACATATTTGTAGGGATACGCTGGTGCAATTGAATTATTTAGTTCCAGAATGTTCCTTCAACAACATCTGAAACTTATTTCTTGTCAGTATTGACATAATCTGCTAAAGCTAGGATAGGCAAATTCATTCTTTTGCTATGTAAACAGTTATGTTTCTACATTCATCACCAGCCACTGAACACAGAAACTTCTCTGCTTAGGTCTGAGAGCTGCCAGGACAGGTAGACAGATGTGAATTCAGAGAGATGAATTCAGAGGGCAGTGTGATACTGTGTCACTTTATTGGAATAATAGCAGTATATTCTCTCCTAGGGAGGGTGAGCTCCCCAACCATGGGCTCCTCACTGGATTTACAGCACCAGGCACGTGCTTCATCCTGGAAAACAAGCACTCTGAGTCTTTGACATAGACTTTCAGAACACACACCAGAAGAACAAAGCATGATGTAACTTTCAACTCTGAAAACTCCAATACCAAACATTCTTTTATCAGGTCCCTGGGGCATCACAGAGACTGCCACCTTTGTGTCCTCCTCCTGTGTGCACATCTAGAGGTAACTATGTGGTTTCTACCTGCAGTCCTGCAGTCTGTAGTCTGCTTGAGTTTACTTTCTACACCCGAGACTGATCATTTTCCGAGAGAAGTTTTTGCTTTCTTAACATTGTTTGTTGATTCACTCACTGTTTTACCTACCAGAAAGCATAGGTCTACTCAGACTATTGAACTTTGGCTTCTACTGAAGCCTATCTGAAAACTAACCCTGTTCTAAAATTCATCAGGTTTCTGAAGTAGTCTGCTTTGCAATCATTCAGCAGCCATTGCAATGGCTTAGCCTTTCCTTCGTGAGGTTTGGACAATTACTGTGTGAATAAAGCATTTGACATCACCTGGAACACCATATTCTAGCTTCCTGTCTCCCTCATGGTCAGGGAAATTAATCTTTCAGTCTCCAATAGATAATTCTGATATGAAGCACATCATTCTGTAGTAAAGCCATCAGACCTTCCTTGGGTTCACAGGATGGAACGTCTTTTATTAGAAGGCCATTGGGATTTCGTAGCAGCAGTTTGATTTTGCCTTATGGCCAGTTCTTCATGTCAAAATGTTCACGCAGTGGTTTCTCAACTTTTCTAATGCTGAGACCCTTTAATTCAGTTTCTTGTGTTGGCCTGACCCTCAACTGTAAAATTATTTTCATTACTATTTCATAGCTGTAATTTTGCTGTTACAAATCATAAAGCAAAGATCTGTGTTTTCCAATAGTCTTAGACAACCCCTGTGAAAGGGTCATCCCACTTCAAAATGGGTCGATTCCCACAGGTTGAGAACTGCTATGTTAAAGGACCACACAATATTCTCTATTCATTTTACTTCTGCTATGCTGTCTTTGTAGAATAAATTTACAGGTTGCTTTCTAATTTTCTGTCAGTGTTTGACTTCTATTTATTGTGAGCTTTTCTGTTTTCCTGAGACATCAGATTTTTGTACTATGCAGAATGCCTTGCAATAAAGCATAAATGTGGATTATACTTTGAACAGGAGTGTGTAGTGTATATAGATAGATGTAACTGTGTCAGGAACACAGAGGTGATAGTGGGAGTCGGTATGGTTACTGGACACGTCTTCAAACCATCTAGATACTGAAGCTCTAGATGAAAGGGAATTCTTCCCTGAGATGTTACAGGGTGTGCATTAGATAAGCTTTATTTATTTTAGTTATTTTTATTTTTAAGACTTATTTTTGCTTTTTAAATGATGTGTATGTATGTGTATCTTTTAGTGGGAATGTGTAGCTGTCTGTGGAGGGTTTATAAGGACCAGATTCCCTAAAACCTGAACTGAACTCAGATTCTTTGCTCCTAACTTCTGAGTCATCTCTCTAATCCTTGTTATCCCATGTAGTGTAGTTTGGCTTTGAACTCATGATCCTCCTGTCTCAGCCTCATCAACACTGAGGGATTCCAGGCATGCGATCACCACACCTGTCCTAAACCTAAACATTCCGTTTCTAATAAGATACCAAGAGAATACATCCATTTGCTGTACTGGTTTGAGAATCAAAAACATTTTCTACACTATCCATCCTAAAAGAAATGAACTGGCTGGGTTACGTTCCCATGCTTTGTCAAGTCTTCCTTTGGCCGGCACTTTCCTTCTGTTTCATTATCATTAGCATCTCTCACAACTAGTTTTCTGTTGTAGCACATTTATCTCTCTGAACGGTTAAAAATCTACAGGCCAGCTTGCAATAAACAACAGAGTCATGAAAAACTAAGGTTATAAATGCTTCTTTCTGTAGGGAAGAATCTTGATCTGAAAACGACAACAACAAAAGACATGGGATTAGAAGGGAAGTCTCCTGTCACATAAATCTCTTTGTTATAGCAAAGAAACTTTCAAGCCTGCAGACCAGAAGAGAGCCTGACTTACAGAGCATGAATGGCTTATGTAATCAATAGGAGTCACTGTTTCTGGTTGCTGCAGGCAACTTCCAGGTCTTCTAGTGTTTCATAGAGACTAGCACAATAATATTTGCGTAATTCCTTAAAAACACAGAATGGTTGGTCCATTCCTTATATTCTTGACTACGAAGCTATGAAAGTAATGGCTTGAATGGCTAGAAAACTAAGAAACAACACATGACATAAAAGAGATAAAATACTTAGATTTTAATGTTATTAACAGTTCTACAAACATATGTCCTAACTGACATCAAGGAAATGGCATGTATTGCTTCTTTGCTTAGATACTCAATATTTAGTTATCTTTTGCAGAATAGCAAGACATCCTCAAAATTACTAGCTTAACTAATAGCTATTTGGATTTGATTTGGGGGTCAAATATCTGAGAAGCAATTAATTTACCAAACTAAAGATGTCTGTGGCATGTGACGTCAGCCAGTGCATTGGATTCCAAGATACTCCATTCCAAGGTGAGCTATGACAGCTCATGCTGTCTGACACCCCACTTCTACTGGTTTATAAAATGTTATATGTCAGAGTCTATTCATGTGACAGAGTTTTCTTCACCATGCTGGTCGTAAAGTGGCCCTTATTCCATAGCAGCTAGCATCCAAGGAAAACACAGAAACTGCAAGGCCTTGTAAGTGATGCTCTACTGCTGCCACCATGTATTATGATGTAATACCCAGGGTCTACCCAAGGGTGTGTAGGCAGGGAAGACAGCATCTACCTCCTGATAAGGGAGTGGAAAAATGACACATCATAGAGTATGAGGAGCAGGAGACACTTCTGTGTCATCTCTGGAAAACGCAGTCCATCACTGAGAGATGGAAAGGCCCACTGGAAGTCACTCTAGGCTTCAAATTTCCTGTTACAACAGTGAACTACAAGCCTTTTTAAATTATAAGTGCTTCTTTTATCAATCTTCTTTGCTGTTCTCCACTTCATCTACCTCTATTCATATTTTGTCTTGCTCTTTGGAGCTTACTCTATTGTGCTTTTTGATTTTTTTCATTTGAACATTTTGTCAAGTTTCACTACTTGCCTTCTCACCGCTGTCTTAGCACTTAGTAACTACAGTCCTGTCTCTTACCAGACTTCACACTACTTCTTGTTTTAGGGTTGTCTTAATATCAGTGCCTAGATTCCTAATGTTTCTCTAGAGATAATTTGAAAGATGAAGTGAGATGTTTGGATGAATTCACTAATTTGGCAGAAGCTGCAAGCTAAAGTACTTTGGTTTGTTTGCCTGTTTGTTTGGAGTGCATGTGTATGTGTGTGTGTGTGAGTGTGTGTGTGCACGCATACATGTGCATATACGTGCGTGAATCAGCTCGAAAATGTTTTAGAAATTAAACCTAAATTCTTATGCATGTCAGGTAAGTACTCGATCAATGAGCTACATCTCTAGCCCTAAAGAATGATTTCTAATATTTACATATGAGCTCACAATTTACTATTCTCCAGAAAATGTATTTCCTATGAACAATGTTGTTTAATTTTCCAGGTGATATTTTCCAATGCCTATATAGATTTAAACTTATTTATCCCATTTCCTCAGAAATAAAAAGGAGTGCTTTAAAAAAAAAAAGAGAATTTAAGTTATAATGATATCCTAGGGTTATAACTCGGTGGCAAAGTTGCAGCCTAGCTTGTACAAGGACTGAGTTCAATCTCTAGAAGTTCATATAAAGTTTATCAACTTGATTTTATACATTTATATATACACACAAGTTTGTACCATAAAGCTTCATTTTAAAAGTTCTTTGCAACCATTATCTGTTTTCATTTCTTGAAACAAACTAATGACATCAATTGTTTCCATCTGTGTGATAAATGCCAGTAAGCCCAGAATATTTCTTTTCTAAATCGCATGTTCTAAGGGCAGCAGATGGCAAGAGTAACTTCATGAAGTACTTTATATGACTCCAAAATTTTAAGTCTAGACACTGTCCAGAAAGTATTGACATCTGTGGTCTAATGTGCTGAATAATCTTCTCTCCTTATAAGGACAACCCAGCATAAATTGTGGGTGATTAAATTACTATTATGTTCATTATGAATGGAAGTATTCATTGTGTTTTTCTAACAAGGACCATGGCCCCTCTGCACATCCAACAACAGAAGATCTAAGTTTGATAAGGGATCTTCTTTTTCTCTTTCAACAGTGAAATCCACCACTTTCACATACAAAACGAAACATAAAATTTCAATCAAAAGCATTTTGTTCCACCTAATGGATTAAATAACATCTTCAATTAGACGAAAGATTGACAATAAATTTATTATCTATCTCCTTAACAGTCTAAGCAATCTAAAGTTAAAAAGTCTAGTGACATTCTACAAATAATGAACATAAACCTCTGCAAGTAGCTAAAAAAACAACAAAAGCAAAAGTGAAAACATGTTGCAGCTAAGGGTTATTTTGAAACTGAAAGGCACATCTCGGATTCCCAGTTTTGTTTGTATTTTAGTCTTCTACCATGCTGCCAAGGTAGTCATGCAAAGAGAAGAGAAAGTTGGATGACTTCATAAAAAATAAATAAAAGAGATAAAAGGAGAAAATTGTTATTTAAGAAACCTCTCCCAAATTCATAGTTCTATATTAAAACACTATTCATATTGTTTCAAATGTACTGTGATCAAAAAAATGTATATACATTTAGAAATGTATAACATTCAGATGGTTGCTCCTGCAAACATACCACCCTCATTACATGACCTCAACAATCAAGGTTAATATAACCTTATAATGTTAGTAGCTTAATAGTATCTCATTTTATTATTAAACATCTAAATTTCCTTCTAAATATGAGAGACTGGGAGAGTCTTGATAATTTATACTTTCTCAATTACTTCCACAACATAAATTCTTGGATTCTGGTTTGGAAAATGGTGACTCATATTATTTACAAAAATAGATTCTTTTCCTGAATTAATGCTTTTATCCATTCTCTACCCTTTAAAATGTAAAAGCAAAGGGTTTTACAGAACCTTGTTGCACTTCATATTTGTAGACACAAATAACAGCACCTCCCAATTCCTGTTCATGGTGTGCTATTGAAAGAAGACATTTAACACTGGTATTAGGAGCTAGAGAAGGAAAGAAAGGACTTGGCCTTACCACCCTGAATGTATCCCATCTCATCTGATCACGGAAGTTAAGAAGTATCCAGCCTGGGTAAAACTTGGAAGGAAGAAAGGAAGAGAAAGAAGCAAACAGAAATTGCACATCAGGGGAGAAAAATGAAGAGGACAAAAAGAAATACGTTTTATTAAGTGCTTTGGAATCTCGGTGAAAACCCACCTAGAGAAGTGACAAATGGGTTCATAGACGTTAAAAAGCTAAGGTCTTGCTGTGCTCTACAGAGAGCTATCATAGAACTGATTGATGTCTGACAGTGTTGAAACTCTGAACTACAGTGTTGTACAGTATCGTCAAGTCACCCAAGCTCAGCAGGTGCCACAAATAAAGGATGCCAACCATCATGTACACTAAACACTCTGGAGAGCAGTCATGGACCTGTTTCAGAAAGATCTTGTATCCAGTGGTCTTGAACTTTTCACCTACTAAATATTCTAAAAGATAAATACAAATCAATACCAATTTTTGTATTTTTCCCTTAAGGTCCAAAGTATAAATATTCTTCTCAAAATGTCTCTGGAATTGCTCCAAGAGTACACAGAACAATATATAAAAATAAATAAAACATGTAAAGTAACCATTCTCACATTCCAAGAGTAATGAGTTTAATGACTTAATCATTTACAAGACTATATTAATAATAATATCAGAGTTCATTTCTGTATTTTCCCAAAAGATTTCCTTTCTACTTCTAGTTGCCTAGAGGTAATAGGGTAATAGCATAGATAAGAAGTATTCTGAAAGAGAAAATGAGAATAGGAGTATAACTCTGTTGTAAAGATGGAGAATCACATGAGAAACAGATGCAGAAATTAGAAACCCTAATATTTGGAAGCAAATATGACATTCACAATTAATACGAAACATTTCTATGTTTGCTTTAAGAAAAAAAGCTTTGTACTTTGAAGTAACATTTAACTGAAGCCATGTAACATACATGAGTGTCCAAATATTACCACATTGAGAGCCCAAAATCCAAAACAGCATGAACGAGAGACTGTGAATGACTGCTACAAATGGGTGAGTGATAACTGTGTACATCACAGTATTTGATGAGCTTAGATATCTTTCATTTTGTGAAAGACAGCCATGAAAACATAGTTGTACATAATGTCTGGGTGTCTGAAGATAATTGGCATCAGCCTAAAGATATTTTAGCAGAAAGACATGGAAAACTAACAGTGAAAGTTTAACATAGTAAAGACACATTCCAAATCTGTCAATATGACTTTAAATACAAGAGTATCATAGCATTTACATTTTCTCAAGGATGATAAGTTAGTATCAGATGGGTATATGGTGAGAAGGTGAGGTTTGAACATATCTAAGTTCCCTTCAATTTCCAAAATTGTATGCTTCAGATACTTAAAACTTACCTAAATATTTCGGATAAAAATAATCCTAGAAAAAAATAAAAAATAGATGTATTAGCAAACCTAAATTTCATCACAGAGATAAAGATTAATGTTTTAGTTTTTTCATACTAACATGGGAATAAATTACATGTTGTGTGTTTTCACATTCTAATTTTTCTATATGAAAAATATTTCAAGAAAAGATAGATAGCCAACGCTTGACAAGTAGGCTTAAAATGGCACTAAACAATTAAATAACATCTTAAAGAACCTGATTTGAAAAGGCTGTACTTAAGGTGATAAATATATGGCCTCTTTTATAAGTAATTTTTTAATGGTGATTAAACATCCATGTGGTACACTGTTTTGTGTGTTGACAGGATCTCTCTACATAGTCCTGGCTATCCTGGAACTCACTATGTAGATCATGTCCACCTCAAAATCAAGAGATCCACATGCCCCTTCCTCCTGAGTGCTGAGATTAAAGGTGTATGCCACCGTATCTGCCTTGATTTGATACATTTTTATATCATTATGATTATCTACACTGAGGTCACAATGAAATAATTTGAAGGGAACTAAATTGAACACTTACATTATTTGCATCCAATGAACATGCAACACCTTCCTTATAAACTGGTGGGTACCAAAAGCAGTTATCACAAGGTGGGCAAGGAAATGTACTTTTATGAACATGGAACATGTGATCAATTTCTGACAGCAAACTCGGAACATATCTCATATGAAGCATAAATAACAGAAGAATATTTCGTGCAGAACCGAAATGCCTGCATGCAAAAATATTCAAGGTTCTGGCTCAGTCAACATGGAACATGGCTTTTTCCAATTCAAAGTCCTCACGTTTTCCACCTATTACAAATAAACCGGCAGAACAGGTTCCTACTAGCTTATGAGAAGGGTCTGACACTGAAGTATTCAGACAACACTGTTGTTTATGGCAGAAGCACAGCCAAACAATAAGGAGCAACAAATGAGGTTCAAGAATTTGTAATATACTAATGACCAGAATACACTAGAGACAGAGAAGAGTTGAGCAAGACAGTAAACACCAGGGTATGAGGAATATAGAGAGGGAGTAAATGGGGTGTTGATGAAGAAACATGAATGAGTCTTCCTTCACCGTCTTCTTCTCTCTTCCCTCTTTTGTTCTGTCTCCCTTTCCAATTCCTCTTTGAAGTCTGACCTCAGAATGTATGTACAATGCAGAAATATACAGTCAAATATTTATGGATGACATAATCATGTGACATGAAGGCTCAAAGTATTCTACCAATGCCATTGAGTAGATGTGGTAGATAGGCAAAATAAAATGGAGGATTTGATCATTATTGGAGGGAGGTGATGTGTTGGGCTTTATTGTATTATTCTTTCTACTTTTTAAATTTTTTTCATAGTAGAAAGGAATATATGTATTTATCTAATATATACCACAATCTCTGTAAAAGTAGATACACGTTCCTTTTAGTATGAAAATGTAAAACATGGAAAAAATATATGCATATATGCTATACAGTAAGGACGTTTACTACATTGTATGGGATAGAAAATTTTGTATTACTACTGTTTGTGCTGGCTAATTTTATGTCAACTTGCCACAAGCGAGAATCATCTGAGAGGGAGTTCCAATTGAGAAAATGCTTCTATAAGATAGAGTTGTGAGCAGACCTGTAGGATATTTTTTTAGTTAGTGACTGATGGAGGAAGGCCCAGCCCGTTGTAGATGATGATATCCTTGGGATGGTAGTCCTGGATTCTATAACAAAGCTAGCTAAGCAAGCCATGAGGAGCAGACCAATCAGCCTTCTCCATGCCCCTGCATTAGCTCCTGCCTCTTGGTTCCTACCTGATTTGGATTCCTGTTTCAGCTTCTCTCAGTGAACCTTAATTCTAAATACATGAGCCAACGAAACCCTTTAATCTCCAAGTTGCTTTTGTTCTTGGTGTTTTATCACACCTTGGTCCCACTTGTAAGTAGATTAAAAATGAAATGTTGGGTATTTGCAGAAAATTTCTTCTTCAAACCTATCAGAACATGGAGAAAGATAAAAAGGGCTACAAGAGCAGTCACAGAGAACGCTAGTGGCTACAGTTTGGGACAGATTTTCGAACTATGGACTAAGTGTTCTTGCTCGTTATCACTCAGCTATTGTCACGAAGCTGGGAGCTGCAGGAGAAGCACGGGAGGACCCTTATACATGTCATCTCCCTCTTTTCTCCAGATTGTGTAATTAATCTCAGGAAAAATATGTGAGGAAACCCTTAAGGGTATGAGCTTTAAACTCTAAAGGTGAAGCTTATAACACTTCTTGGAGGTATTAATGCTATTTCTGCTAGCTACAGGCATGCTACAGAGCACCCTCTCCTCTCTCCTAAAACACAGAATGGGCAATAAGTCCCATATTGCTGTGTGACATTTAAGTCTTTATGGTTATATTGTGGGGGGGGTGAGGTGGATAACATAATTTTTCATACACTGATGATTACTGCTGATATCAGCAGCCTCGGGAAACTTTCCAAAGGTTATAAAGTATACTCAGCATACATGACACTGTAATAATTAGTGTTATATGGCCCCATTTCTAGAACCTTCTCAAGGTAAATGGTGACACTGTGCACAGTGGTACACATCAATCTATAATCCCAGTATATGGGAGGCTGAAGCAGAGGCAGGAAGAGAGTGAGTTTCAGGGTAGTTGGGATTATGAGTAAGAGACTATCACAAATGCAAACAATCAACCAAAACAACATAAATGAGGAACACAGTGGTGATAGAAATACCCAAGGTCACTTACACTTCACACACATCTTCTCTTGAGAACTCGATACTATTAAATTTGGGTTAGGATAAAATCGTTACAAATCACAAAGTCAACACTAGTTGTTGACAATGAGACTTAAGGGAAATCTAGTTAGGCCAGAGCATTTGTCATTGGCGGTCCTCCTGAAATGACAGGGCAACACATAGAAAGTGGACTAGAGAATCACGAGCTTTCAAATGGAGCCAAGGAGACACAAGCTGGCAATGTCCAGCCTGTCACTGTAAATGGAGGTGGGGGGATTCAACAGTTTCCATGGATTCTTACCGTTTCGGCATTGTTTTCAAAGACCTCCCTGGCTTCCTCCTTATTGCAGAGTTCCTCAATGCACTCTCTTTCAAGGTTGCCCTGTTTAGTCTCTTCGATCAAGTTATTTGCACGGCGCTTCCTCACCAGGACTTGTGAAGCACGTTCTTTTGACAAGACTGTGGAAATGCAAACGTAGATAAATAAAAATTTTCATTTTTCCTGTAAGATTAAACAATACAAGCTGAAATGATTTTCTGCCTATGATAATGCAAGATATTTAAAATTGATAGACAGGATCTCAGAAAAAGTGCAGATACATAAGCTTTTTGGTTAACAACTCAAGAAGCAGATTCAGCTCATGCCAGTTCATACAGCTCACTACAGCTGTTTTATATGATCTATACAAATCATCCAGTCATGCTTGAGACTGATACACTAGATGATAGTCAATGATTTCCTTAACGGTGGCCGCGCCATGTTAAAATGAGTTGTCAAAAATCTATGACACCAAGAGTAACAAACTTTTTCAATTTTAGTAGAAAACAGTTGGAATCTCTATGGAGATGGAGAAATACAGATGTGAAAGCCAGTCAGCTGTGTGAGAGTTGAGAGGGAGAGGACAAAATATAGGGCAAAAGGAAGTTTGCTAAACCCCGCACTATAGGAGACAAAGAGAAATTTAAAGTAACTTCGGTTACATGAGTTTTAAAAAGATGAATAACAACAAAACAGTATCACCAACTTCAATATTAAGCTTGAAGGAAACAAATTGCAACCACAGTTTTTAAGTCATTTTTGCAAATCAAAAAAAATCAATAAAGGAATATTTGCAAAGTTGTATAAAAAACTCACTGACTATGAACAACATAAAGAAAATAATATAAATATCATTATAAGAGTAAAAAAGTAGAAACGCTACAGAAATATGAGGAGAAATAGATTTAAAAGTAAAATAAGCTGTAATACCTGTACTGAGAAATAAAATAGAATTTTGAAAAGAAAGTACTCTTGGGTCACTCCCTCAAACATGAAAATTAAAATATAAATTTTAGAATGCTATTCCCTCAGCATAAAGTTTATATATACACACATATACAGTAGCCCAAATTGCAAATATGTAAAAATTACTTGGTCAAATATATAGAAAAAATTGAAAATATTCTTAAACCACAAGTACCAATTATATTTGAAGAAAATGAAGAAAATGTGAACTTTTATATAATATTAATATGTAGACTGGACAGTAGTTTTTAGTCAAAAAATTTTAAAGCATAAATAAAATTTACATTTTTATATTTTATGCATTAATAATTCTGTTTACTATGAAGAAAAGCAAATTTATAAACGGATGGGTTTATTTTATGTCTGTCATAATTATAATAAACAATATATACTCAAAAGCTTGACAAAATAAGAGGGTGAAAGGAAAATGGCTGATTGATAAAAAGTCAGCCTGAACCACTGAAACTCTTTCAATAGTGAAATAAGTCAGGGGAATAGCAGGGAACACACAATCTGATTGGAAGAAGGTAAAAAAAGGGGGACCTCTGATTTGGGATAGGAGAGTGAGACAAATACAGAAGAGATAAACAGTAAGAATATCTGAAAAAGTCACAAGTAATCATATTATTAACTACCTATCTAAAACTATTATAGTACTTAAAACCATATAGCAAATTAAAAATTATTTACTCATCTGGGCTGCCAATACTCCTCCCAAGAGCCAAAGACTAACAACAACAACAATAATAAAAGAACACCAGGTATCAGAAGCCTTTCTTTGAACTGTTGGTCAGGGTTGTCCAGGAACTCGAATAACATTAGAGGCCTTTGTTATGGCCTTTGCTTGGTGCCCAGAGGTGGAAGTCCCTAGTGCTGAAGGCACCATGATTGATGCACAGGGCCCAGAGACTTCTGAACTGGAACTGACATGAATTCTTCCTGTCTGACAACTTGCTTGTATGATACCAGAAGGTGCTGTGCAATCTTCCAAAGGAGGGAAGGAACAACAGTCCTACCCATCTATGATGCCTATGAACCACAACAACGACCACCATGGCAAGATAACCCCAAGAGTGGACTAGTGACAAACATACCTTTGTGCCAAACAACAGCTCTCTAACTAGACTTCTTCAACAAGACAGAAACAAAACATGGTTCTGGAAACCCATTACCCAGGGCAATCAAAGTCATGGATCTTAGAAGAGAGCCTACAACCACCACTTAACTAAACTAGCATAGTCCATAACTACATTCTAAATATTTGTCCTTATGCATACAAGATAGTCTTCACTCCTCATCAAAGAAACTCCTCATTGCAACACAGAGAGACTATTACCGGAAACCACAACTAATCAAAATGTAGACATGTGGAACCTGGTACCAATGGCTACACCAAACAAACAACTTCAGCACCCAAGATTCCTGGAACGTTGTGAAAGATGGCGTGCAAAGATTGTAAAAGCCAGGGGACTGGAGAGGAGCAGGGAGTGTCTCCTAGCAATGTCAGAAAATAGATGAATAAAATCTCATCAACATGCCTGCCTAAACATGAACCCAACAAGGGCAGTAACAGCCATGCCAAAGTAGACAGGGGAAAACCCAGGAGACATCAACCCTCCATAAAGAACTACAGTCAACTAAAGAGTGCTGAGACTGATAAAAAAAATTAAAAAAACTCTGCCTCCTCAAAGAGCACACTAACTGGCTATTCAATATGGTCAGCACTGGAAACTTGCATACAAGTAACATTATGCAAACCAAACTGGCTATACTTAGGAGTATATAGATATATACACTGAACAATATTTAATAAAAAGAGGTGGCGTGAATTTGAAAGAGAAGGGTATATGGGAGAGTTTGGAAGGATGAAACAAGGGGAAATTATTTTTTATATTACAGTCTCACAAAAAAAGGAAATGTTAAAAATAACTGAAATAAGTAATACTGCTTTAGATCTCTTTCTGAAACAGAAATGTGATGGCTAAGTAAACAGTTTGGGTTGTATTTATAGCTCTTATCTCTGGCCATTTCGTCACTGCTCATTAAAAGATAAAGACTCAAACAAGGCTCTGTGTGCATAAAGAATAACGATGAACACGCTACCTGCCAAGTGGATTACTGACTGATAAATGGCAGCACTGTCAATAATCCCTGTCCTACAGGAGCTGCAGTTTCACTACTTGGAAATGTTTAACAATGCTACTTTGTAATGCATACAGCAAAAACGTCAAATTTCTGAACTTTAAAACAAATATGTAATTCAGTCTGGGGAAAATGATAACATAAACAATAAAAATATTGGTTTAATAATAATAACAACAACAATCAAATACATTTTTAAATGACACATTCACTTTCCAGCAATTCTTCCATTAAAATGTACTAAACTTATGCTTGCAGACAGGAGTCTTGTATGGTTGTCTTCTGAGAGGCTCCACCCAGCAGCTGACTCAGACAGATGCAGACACTCACAGCCAAACAGTGGATAGAGTTGGGGACTCATAAGAGAATAGGAAGAATAGGAGGAAGGATTGAAGCCCATAAGGGGACAGGAACCCCACAGGAAGATCAACAGAGTCAACTAACCTGAGCCCTTGTGGCTTTCAGAGTCTGAACCTCAACCAAAGAGCATACATGAGCTGGACCTAGGCCTCCCCACACATATGCAACAGATGTGCAGCTTGATCTTCATACAGGTCCCAAACAACTGGAGCAGGCGCTATCCCAAAAGCTGTTGCCTATATGTGGGATATGTTATTCTAGCTAGGCTGCCTTGTCTGGCCTCAGTGGGAGAAGTACCTAGTCTCACAGAAACTTAAAGTGTCAGGGTGAAAGAATACCCAAGGGGGGCCCTACCTGCTCACAGGAAAAGATGAGGAGGGCTGGGAGGCTGGGAGGAAGGATTGTGGAAGGAAGTGACTAGGAGAGGGGGCAGTGAGTTGGATGCAAATAAATAAATAAATGTAAAAAAATAAAAAGAATACTAAACTTGTGGGGCATCCAATAAGAGCTCAGAGGGTAAAAGCACCTATATAAAAGTCTGTTTATGTGTTTTGACCCCCCAAGAATCTACACGGAGGTAGGAGATAAGAACCTCCAAAAAGCCTTCGGCCTCCATACACATATCATAAACAGTCACATGTACACACAATTATAATCATTTTTTTAAAGAAATACTGATACTGGGTTCAGGGAATCTCTCAGAAGAGAGGAGCAGAACCGATTTACAAGAATAACCTTGGGGAGAAGGGCTGTAAAGGGCTGTCTCAGGAGCATGGCATGACCAAGGCATCCAAGAATTTACAGTGGAGACAGTCGTCTATGTAAGATATTGTTCTTCATGACAATCCAAGGGAACAACTGCCAACTTCGGCTGTGCCCTCTTGCAAAAATTATCACAACTGGGTTTGTCGACTGTAGAGGAGCTTGAAGTATTTCCATAACCTGCTGTATGTAATTCTGTCCAAATTGCACTTGGCCTTGGGGAACAGCTAGATTATACAGATCACAAACACTGGGGAAGAGATTGGGGCTCTATCTTGAAGCTATAAAAAAGCCATTATCCAATTGGAGTAAAAACATTTTAGGGGGAACATTCACAGTACTACAGGTACTGTGCTCTGTCAGTGAGGCTGATAAACTCATTGGTTCTCCCAGTGAATTTTGGTGGAATTGTGCCTCAGTTTATCCCCGGGACACCTTAAGAGGATGACAAATAGACACTGTTTAGGTCTTCCAGAAATAAGGAATTTTTCCACAGTTCTAAACAAGGCTGAGCCTTTATTCAGTGAGAGATGCAACGGGGCTCCTTAGACCATGCTGACCAGAAGAGCTTTTGGCAGCCACTAAGAAGAGGAAGTCATTGTCTTCTATGCTGAAGCCACTGGTGATAGTTCAATGCATTGCTCCTCACCCGTTCTCATAAGGAGCATCCCAAGGTAAACCCAGCCAGGGATGAAGGGAAAGGAAAGACAGGAAAGCAGAATGGACACTTGCTGGGAGGAAGGGGGTTTGGGAAGTGGGAATGGATTAAGAGACAATGAGGGACAAGTGTAACCAAATGTCTTACGTATATGTATGAAACTGTGAAAGCTTCATATAATATTTTTACATGCACTTAAAAATGTTAAGTTCAGCCATCAAGACTTTGATGTTAATATTTAAAGAAATCTGT